GTTATAAAAAATTCAATTCTCGGTGTCTACTGTATATTAAGGAAGGAAACTCATAGAATTTTTTCAGTAGACCCTACTGATAATTTCCAGAACCATAATCGATAGATTAATCCCATAGACACCGAGTAACAGCCCCACAAAAGGGAGTTTTTTAATTAAATTGACGGAATTTCGACTTTAAAAAATTCAATCCTCGATGTTCTCCGGAGATTAAGGGGAAGAAAACTCAAGGGAATCTTCTAGAACACTATACAGAAGCTTTCCAGACCCATAATTAATAGATTAACCCCATGGACACCGAATAACAGCCCCATAAAAGGCGTTCTTTGACTTATTTGTCGAGAATTTCAGTTATAAAAAATTCAATTCTCGGTGTCTACTGTATATTAAGGAAGGAAACTCATAGAATTTTTTCAGTAGACCCTACTGATAATTTCCAGAACCATAATCGATAGATTAATCCCATAGACACCGAGTAACAGCCCCACAAAAGGGAGTTTTTTAATTAAATTGACGGAATTTCGACTTTAAAAAATTCAATCCTCGATGTTCTCCGGAGATTAAGGGGAAGAAAACTCAAGGGAATCTTCTAGAACACTATACAGAAGCTTTCCAGACCCATAATTAATAGATTAACCCCATGGACACCGAATAACAGCCCCATAAAAGGCGTTCTTTGACTTATTTGTCGAGAATTTCAGTTATAAAAAATTCAATTCTCGGTGTCTACTGTATATTAAGGAAGGAAACTCATAGAATTTTTTCAGTAGACCCTACTGATAATTTCCAGAACCATAATCGATAGATTAATCCCATAGACACCGAGTAACAGCCCCACAAAAGGGAGTTTTTTAATTAAATTGACGGAATTTCGACTTTAAAAAATTCAATCCTCGATGTTCTCCGGAGATTAAGGGGAAGAAAACTCAAGGGAATCTTCTAGAACACTATACAGAAGCTTTCCAGACCCATAATTAATAGATTAACCCCATGGACACCGAATAACAGCCCCATAAAAGGCGTTCTTTGACTTATTTGTCGAGAATTTCAGTTATAAAAAATTCAATTCTCGGTGTCTACTGTATATTAAGGAAGGAAACTCATAGAATTTTTTCAGTAGACCCTACTGATAATTTCCAGAACCATAATCGATAGATTAATCCCATAGACACCGAGTAACAGCCCCACAAAAGGGAGTTTTTTAATTAAATTGACGGAATTTCGACTTTAAAAAATTCAATCCTCGATGTTCTCCGGAGATTAAGGGGAAGAAAACTCAAGGGAATCTTCTAGAACACTATACAGAAGCTTTCCAGACCCATAATTAATAGATTAACCCCATGGACACCGAATAACAGCCCCATAAAAGGCGTTCTTTGACTTATTTGTCGAGAATTTCAGTTATAAAAAATTCAATTCTCGGTGTCTACTGTATATTAAGGAAGGAAACTCATAGAATTTTTTCAGTAGACCCTACTGATAATTTCCAGAACCATAATCGATAGATTAATCCCATAGACACCGAGTAACAGCCCCACAAAAGGGAGTTTTTTAATTAAATTGACGGAATTTCGACTTTAAAAAATTCAATCCTCGATGTTCTCCGGAGATTAAGGGGAAGAAAACTCAAGGGAATCTTCTAGAACACTATACAGAAGCTTTCCAGACCCATAATTAATAGATTAACCCCATGGACACCGAATAACAGCCCCATAAAAGGCGTTCTTTGACTTATTTGTCGAGAATTTCAGTTATAAAAAATTCAATTCTCGGTGTCTACTGTATATTAAGGAAGGAAACTCATAGAATTTTTTCAGTAGACCCTACTGATAATTTCCAGAACCATAATCGATAGATTAATCCCATAGACACCGAGTAACAGCCCCACAAAAGGGAGTTTTTTAATTAAATTGACGGAATTTCGACTTTAAAAAATTCAATCCTCGATGTTCTCCGGAGATTAAGGGGAAGAAAACTCAAGGGAATCTTCTAGAACACTATACAGAAGCTTTCCAGACCCATAATTAATAGATTAACCCCATGGACACCGAATAACAGCCCCATAAAAGGCGTTCTTTGACTTATTTGTCGAGAATTTCAGTTATAAAAAATTCAATTCTCGGTGTCTACTGTATATTAAGGAAGGAAACTCATAGAATTTTTTCAGTAGACCCTACTGATAATTTCCAGAACCATAATCGATAGATTAATCCCATAGACACCGAGTAACAGCCCCACAAAAGGGAGTTTTTTAATTAAATTGACGGAATTTCGACTTTAAAAAATTCAATCCTCGATGTTCTCCGGAGATTAAGGGGAAGAAAACTCAAGGGAATCTTCTAGAACACTATACAGAAGCTTTCCAGACCCATAATTAATAGATTAACCCCATGGACACCGAATAACAGCCCCATAAAAGGCGTTCTTTGACTTATTTGTCGAGAATTTCAGTTATAAAAAATTCAATTCTCGGTGTCTACTGTATATTAAGGAAGGAAACTCATAGAATTTTTTCAGTAGACCCTACTGATAATTTCCAGAACCATAATCGATAGATTAATCCCATAGACACCGAGTAACAGCCCCACAAAAGGGAGTTTTTTAATTAAATTGACGGAATTTCGACTTTAAAAAATTCAATCCTCGATGTTCTCCGGAGATTAAGGGGAAGAAAACTCAAGGGAATCTTCTAGAACACTATACAGAAGCTTTCCAGACCCATAATTAATAGATTAACCCCATGGACACCGAATAACAGCCCCATAAAAGGCGTTCTTTGACTTATTTGTCGAGAATTTCAGTTATAAAAAATTCAATTCTCGGTGTCTACTGTATATTAAGGAAGGAAACTCATAGAATTTTTTCAGTAGACCCTACTGATAATTTCCAGAACCATAATCGATAGATTAATCCCATAGACACCGAGTAACAGCCCCACAAAAGGGAGTTTTTTAATTAAATTGACGGAATTTCGACTTTAAAAAATTCAATCCTCGATGTTCTCCGGAGATTAAGGGGAAGAAAACTCAAGGGAATCTTCTAGAACACTATACAGAAGCTTTCCAGACCCATAATTAATAGATTAACCCCATGGACACCGAATAACAGCCCCATAAAAGGCGTTCTTTGACTTATTTGTCGAGAATTTCAGTTATAAAAAATTCAATTCTCGGTGTCTACTGTATATTAAGGAAGGAAACTCATAGAATTTTTTCAGTAGACCCTACTGATAATTTCCAGAACCATAATCGATAGATTAATCCCATAGACACCGAGTAACAGCCCCACAAAAGGGAGTTTTTTAATTAAATTGACGGAATTTCGACTTTAAAAAATTCAATCCTCGATGTTCTCCGGAGATTAAGGGGAAGAAAACTCAAGGGAATCTTCTAGAACACTATACAGAAGCTTTCCAGACCCATAATTAATAGATTAACCCCATGGACACCGAATAACAGCCCCATAAAAGGCGTTCTTTGACTTATTTGTCGAGAATTTCAGTTATAAAAAATTCAATTCTCGGTGTCTACTGTATATTAAGGAAGGAAACTCATAGAATTTTTTCAGTAGACCCTACTGATAATTTCCAGAACCATAATCGATAGATTAATCCCATAGACACCGAGTAACAGCCCCACAAAAGGGAGTTTTTTAATTAAATTGACGGAATTTCGACTTTAAAAAATTCAATCCTCGATGTTCTCCGGAGATTAAGGGGAAGAAAACTCAAGGGAATCTTCTAGAACACTATACAGAAGCTTTCCAGACCCATAATTAATAGATTAACCCCATGGACACCGAATAACAGCCCCATAAAAGGCGTTCTTTGACTTATTTGTCGAGAATTTCAGTTATAAAAAATTCAATTCTCGGTGTCTACTGTATATTAAGGAAGGAAACTCATAGAATTTTTTCAGTAGACCCTACTGATAATTTCCAGAACCATAATCGATAGATTAATCCCATAGACACCGAGTAACAGCCCCACAAAAGGGAGTTTTTTAATTAAATTGACGGAATTTCGACTTTAAAAAATTCAATCCTCGATGTTCTCCGGAGATTAAGGGGAAGAAAACTCAAGGGAATCTTCTAGAACACTATACAGAAGCTTTCCAGACCCATAATTAATAGATTAACCCCATGGACACCGAATAACAGCCCCATAAAAGGCGTTCTTTGACTTATTTGTCGAGAATTTCAGTTATAAAAAATTCAATTCTCGGTGTCTACTGTATATTAAGGAAGGAAACTCATAGAATTTTTTCAGTAGACCCTACTGATAATTTCCAGAACCATAATCGATAGATTAATCCCATAGACACCGAGTAACAGCCCCACAAAAGGGAGTTTTTTAATTAAATTGACGGAATTTCGACTTTAAAAAATTCAATCCTCGATGTTCTCCGGAGATTAAGGGGAAGAAAACTCAAGGGAATCTTCTAGAACACTATACAGAAGCTTTCCAGACCCATAATTAATAGATTAACCCCATGGACACCGAATAACAGCCCCATAAAAGGCGTTCTTTGACTTATTTGTCGAGAATTTCAGTTATAAAAAATTCAATTCTCGGTGTCTACTGTATATTAAGGAAGGAAACTCATAGAATTTTTTCAGTAGACCCTACTGATAATTTCCAGAACCATAATCGATAGATTAATCCCATAGACACCGAGTAACAGCCCCACAAAAGGGAGTTTTTTAATTAAATTGACGGGTTTAAATTTTTGATAAGTTCATTTTTAATCATTCTTATGTTCCAATTTAATCGTTTTCACTTCCTCTAAAAGGATCCTATGCCAATCAGTTGATTAGATTAGTAACTTGGATGTCCGCGTGGCTATTGTTATCAAGAGTTATTAAGAGTTATCAAGAGTTAACTAGAGTTAACTAGAGAGGGTTTTAAAATTTTTGATAAGTTCATTTTTAATCATTCTTATGTACCAATTGAATCGTTTTCACTTCCTCTACAAGGATCCTATGCCAAACAGTTGATTAGATTAGTAACTTGGAAAAAATTTAGAGTTTTCATTTTTACATGTCCGCGTGGCTATTGCTATCAAGACTCATCAAGACTTAACTAGATTAGGGTTTAAAATTAGGGGTGTGCGAATAATTCGAACTGACAAATTATTCGTTCCGAATCGAATAATTTGAATTTTCGAATTATTCGAAATTCGACGAACAATTCGAAAAAATTCGAATTATTCGAATTCTTTTGAATTATTCGTCGAATGTTGATTAATTCGAAAATTTGAATTATTCGGTTCGAATATCAATATTCGATTCGATTCGGTTCGAACGATATTCGCACACCCCTAATAATTATTGTTTCAATAAAATTTAATCTAAAATATCTTACACTAGTTTCTCGTAAATAATTTTCATCGTGCGGATCTTCGGGATCTCCTATGTACCGTTTTTGAATATGTACATTATGCACTCCAGTTATTTTAAAAAGTTCAGGTTGAAAAAGACTCAGTGGTGCTATCAAACACTCATCACCGACCTAAAAATGATAATTATAATAATATGAAATAAATAAAAAAATTAAAGTCGGCTAATTTTGGCTTATAAAATGGCATCTATATAAAAATAATATCTTAATTTAATCACGAAATTTATAAGTACCTGAAGTGTGTATTTTTCGACCGGTGATTTAGGTTTTTTAACAAGAAATGACTTTTCTTGCGAGCCACAGATATTTAAATCAACATGACAAAAATCTTTTTTAAGATCTCCCAGTAGTACAGCGTCCAATTTGTTAAAAGGCTGACAAGCCTGATAAGGAAACGCAGACTTTTGTAGCAGCCAGAAAAAAGTCTGTGTTATATCACCACCCCCATAATCCATTCTTACGCGAGTGTTCCTATGAGAAATGCCATCTTCTACACAAGAAACAGAGGTTTTTTCATGACCTACATCAACCACACAAGCGTATCCTAAACCCGCTCCAAAAGTAGCCGCTACGTGATCCTAAAGAAAATATCAATCCTCATTATTTAGAGCAAAAAAATATTAATTTAATTATTAAATAGAAATTAAAAGTAACCTGTAATAAAAAGCAACCACCAAAATTCATATCAATTAACAGCAAAGTTGTCAATTCTTTTAAATATTGCCTATTATATATATCAGGTACAACAAGAACTGCTCGATAGTGTTTCAAATCTTGGATTGGAATTTTCAGTTTCTCGGTAATAACATACTCCCAAATTGTTTTCAAATCTGCTAGTACCGCAGTGAGACTTCCACCGGGGCCTGAATGGATGTTCAGCTCACCACGACGGTATGGAATATGGATATTATAATTGTCTTCTGGGTTTAAATTCAATATTTCTTCCCCGATAATTACATCTTTATCGGTTTTAATCCACTCTCCGTTAATTGATGAAACTATTTCGGGATTAGATCTTCTATTGAAAGCCGCTATTTGCTGTGGAGGTGTTGCGTATCTTCTACGGCCGTCTGATTGTAAGCAAGATTGGAGAGTATGCGACACTTGGAGTCTTGATTCTTCCATCGCTTGGGTTAATTCTTTTGTCTAGAAAAATAAAGATAAATATTTTTTAAAATATATGTGTTTTAAGTATGAAAATAAAATGAGCAGACAGCTGATAGCTGACACTTTTTAGAATTCTTCTTACTAAAAAATTTATAACAAAATATTTTTTTTTTTAAATTCCTCATGTAGAAAATTTAAAAAACAATGCATGGAATTTTTTACAATATATATTTTTAGTTCTAATTTAATTAATGAAAAAAATTGTTAAATGTCTCCTAACTTTGGTATCATGTTTGAAGTGATATTTATTTATTTATTTTCCATTACATAAGCCCAACAGCCTAAGGGGCCAATAACAGGGCTACTTAATTTTACAAGTTGAAGATTTTGACAGTGTTTAATACTTAAATTAATATTTGGCTCTATATAAACTAAAAATTTTTAATTTTTAAAATTAGAGTGATTTTTATAATCATCAGATGACTTAGTAGCTATAGTAATAAGAAAAAAAAAAAAAAAAAAAATTTAATTAATTACCTTTGGTACCAACGCCGGTAAAAATGCATCTTGATGGGCAATTCCATTAGGAAGACGTTTCCTTGCAATTGCATGCAAAATTGTTACTGGATTTAAATCAGATGCTCGACCTATCCTGACATTTTGTGATCCTGGATGGATTATTATTACTGTCTGAGCCTGAATTTGCTGTAAAAAATTATGAAAATTAATTTAGCAGATATTTAATAATTTTAAGAATTTTTTAACAAATAAATTATGGCAAAAAAAAAGTAGAAAAAAAAATTGACATGTAGAAATTTTAAAAAATTAGAAATGCAATTTTTTTAAAATAATTTTTTGGAAAAAATCTATTTGTTATATAAAATTACAAAATTGTGAAGTGACTGCTAACTTCAATGTCATAAAATTATATTATTGATGATATTGAAATTTAGAGCCATGTGATAATATTTTTAATAAATAAGTTATAGCAAAAAAAATTTAATTTTTAAAATAATACTGAAGTCAGCTGACATCTGATGATTTTTTTTAATAAATAAATCACTGAAATAAAAATTTTATAAAAAATTCCACTTGTAGATGTCAAAAAAATTTATTGTTGCCTTTTTTTAATGTTGTTTTTTTAGTAATAATTTATTTGTTGTAAAAATCCAAAAAATGACAGATGTCTGCTAAATTTAGCTTCATTTTTTAAAAGCTCTAAAAAAAAAATATAAATGTAATTTTTTTTTTTTAAATAAATTTTTAAACTTAGTTTATTTTTCAATAAAATAAAAAAAATGTCAAGTGTTTTTGCTAATTTCAATGTCATTATTATTACTCATATTAAAAATTATGATTAGATATTAATTAATAATAAGAATAAAATAATTACCTCAGCAGACGATTCATGAAATGCCGGCATAATTATTATTTTAACAATAAAACATTTTCACAAATTATTTAATTAATTTCTTATTTGAAAAAAAAATTTAATCTAGTTAATTTTAAATTATTTTGAGGTTTTGTTATATTTGTTTATATCAAAAAGTTTCAGTCGATAATGTCGACATCTGTGAAATGATACAAAATAGCCGCCAGAATATTTTTTTATTCGCTTAGTTCTTTTTATCAAAAATGGCGACTTGCAGTAACTCATCCTCGGAAAAATGTATTCCTGATTACACTGAAGATAAATATAAAGGTGTTTGTAAAATAAAAGAAGAGTAAGTAAAAAAATATTATTTATTATTTTTAAACAATATAAACACTCGTCAACTCTCAAGTAAACAAATATCGAATTTTGCGTGTCTATAACCTCAATTTCTTTTTATTTATTTTACAAAGCTTGTAGTTTTATTTATTTGTTATTTAAATTGACAGGTTTATTGTGGACGACCACGTGAGAATATTGTCCAAGGATTGCTTGACTAAAGAAGACAAGGAGAAGATAAACCAGTTAAGTAGTAATGCAGATGAAACAACTGACGAGCCGGCAAAAAAACGTGCCAAGTTGGAGTCAGAAAATGACCCGAAAATCGAAACCGGAAATAACAATGATGATGAAGGTGCTATTGAAGAAGAGCCGGTTGTCAAAAAAATAAAGTTAGATGAGCGACGAGATAAATTAAAAGGGCAAAATAAATCACGGCCACCGCCGTTCAAAACATCTAAAGAGCGGAACTTGTGTCCTTGGATCGTAGATCAAGCTGAAGATGAGCCGGAAAAAAAATGCCCGTCTCCAAAATGTACTTTTATGCATGATCGTGCTGCTTATTTAAAAATCAAAGAACCTGATATTGATTCTCTGTGCTACTTGTTTAATATGATGGGTAGATGTCCACGTGGAGCCGCTTGCAGGTATGACATTAAATAATAAATAAAGTTAGCGGCCGTTTTTAATTTTTTGGCTTTTTTTTTTTTTCAATAATTAAATTAGAACAAAAAAATATTTTTTATAAATTTCACTTACAGTTTTAAAAATTTTTTACAAATGCAATTTTTTTGTAATAATTTTTTGTAATAATAAAAAGTTTTAGATGTCGGTTAACTTAATTTTCATTGACATTAAAGTTAGCAGTCAGGGCCATTTTTCAATAATTAAATTTGTTCTGAAAAATAATTTTAAAAAAAATTGCATTTTTTATTTTTTTTTAATTCTACATCTCATTTTTTTTTTTGCCATAATTTATTTGCATCACAAATTCTTAAAATTATTAAATATCTGCTAAATTAATTTTCATCTTGCAGGTATGCTTCCAAGCATTTATCATCAGACGGCCTCAATATTGTTGACAAAGAAAAGTTCGAGGCTTTTTCAAAAAAAAATCCAGCGACCAAAAATAAAATGTCTCCTGGACTGCAAGAAAAATTACGCAAGCGTAAGTACAACTTTAATGCAGCTGAAAAAATTGTCAAGACTAATGATGGAAGTGGTCCTAAAAAACATTGTAATGGATTAACACGTCCGAGCAATAATGACGAGGCAAAGGGTGAAAAAGTTGAAGAGAAGAGACTAGGAGCTGTTCCAGATCATGATTTGATAAAATTGAGACCTGAAGAGAAGAAGAAAATCGAGTGGAGAGACAAAATTCTCTTGAGTCCGCTTACTACGGTAGGTAATTTGCCCTTCAGAAGAATCTGCAAGGAGTATGGAGCCGACATTACTTGCGGAGAAATGGCTCTGGCCCCTAAAATACTCAAGGGCGTGCATGAAGAGTGGGCTTTGGTTAAAAGACACGAATCTGAAGATATCTTCGGCGTGCAAATTTGCGGTAATAACCCCGGAGTTTTGACCAGATGCGCTCAATTGCTGAGTGAACAAACCGAGATCGATTATATAGATCTGAACTTGGGTTGTCCCATTGATTTAATTTACAAACACGGGGGCGGCAGTGGAATGTTAAATCGTACCAATGTGCTGCAGAATGTCGTTAAATCTGTTAGTCAAGTTCTTGACATTCCTCTGACTATTAAAACACGCATGGGTGTTTATATGGACAAGCCTATTGCTCACAATCTTATGCCTAAATTCCGTGAGTGGGGAGCGTCAATGATAACTGTAAGCTTATTTTTACATTCTTGAGAAATAAATTTCTAGATTAGATAAATGTCTAGGTGGAATTTTTATTAAATATTGTTATTTATTTTTTAGGTACACGGAAGATCACGAGAGCAAAGATACACTAAGATGGCTGATTGGGAGTACATTGAAACGTGCGCTAAAAATGCAGACCCTATTCCCGTTTTTGGTAATGGAGATATTTTGAGCTTCGATGATTACCAACGAGTTAGAGCAAGTTATCCCACGGTTCAAGGGATTACAATTGGTCGCGGGGCGTTAATTAAACCGTGGATTTTCTCTGAAATTAAGGAACAGAAACTTTATGATATTTCTAGCTCTGAGAGGCTTGATATGTTGAAAAAGTATGCTAATTATGGAATGGAACACTGGGGATCTGACACTAGAGGTGTTGAAACTACGAGAAGATTTATGTTAGAGTGGATTTCATTTTTACACAGGTAATTTTGCATGATTTTAAAATTACCAGACATTTTTGATTTTTTAAATCAATAAAGAAAATATTTTCTAAACATTGAACTTAAAATTTTTTTAATAAAAAATTTTTCAGAAGTTTAATTTAATTTTCATAATTGTGCAATTTTTTTAAACTTAAGCTATTGTATTTAATTATTCTTGAATTTATATAATTATGATCAATAATCAATTGCAGATACATTCCAGTGGGTATTTTGGAACAACCACCACAAAGGATAAATGAACGTCCACCTTACTACAAAGGACGCGACGAACTTGAAACATTGATGGCTAGCTCAAACTGTGCTGATTGGATAAAGTTGAGGTAATTATACTTAACAAAAAGTTACAACCATCTTGAATTATTTATTTAATTAATTAAAAATAAAAAAATAATTATTTGTTTCAGTGAAATGTTTTTGGGAAAAACACCAGACGGATTTCACTTTCTGCCAAAGCACAAAGCCAATTCATGGAAATAATTTAAAATTAAATATAATCTTTATTATTATTAATTATAATAATTATAATAACAATAATAAAATGATATTTTAACTTTTAATTATGAAAAGAGTAGTAGTTTTCAATGTCATTATTTTTTATTAATAAAAATTTGATGTATTAATATATTTTTGGGATATTTTTAGTGGGAATTTTTGACCTAGAACCTAATTTAAAATACATTTATTAAGTGTTATTATGTTAAATATATTTATATTAGTATTTAGTAGTGAGCGGAAATATCTCCCAGAGTAGAAACTGGCCACATGCATTCACATCCGCTGGCAATTTCTTTGGTAAAAGGTTCCCAGCATCCACTCGCCCACCGGCGTCTCACCATAGACAGAACGCGGCTCCGCTGAACACACTGAAAACCAGGATGGGCACACATCTGTTTGCTTTTTTTAGCAACACCCAGCTCTGTATCTTCAAGCAGCGAGTAACTTTTGCAATAAACCTCGTGGTAATGCGGTGGCTGATACTCAAACTCTTCATCGTCCAATTGGACTCTTTTAGTCTTTATTTCACAAAGATTACGGTACTCCTGTCAATAGTCAAAAAAATAAATAATTACCATCACTTAATAATAAATAAATAAATATTTAAAGCTTACAGGTAATAAATTTCTGTCATTTCTGAGCAATTGATTATTTATAGATAAATAATTATTATTATCATCTTGATTATTATAAATTTCAGGCAAATAAGAGAGATCTCTGAAGACAATTGCCGGGAGATGATCCTGATGATTAGTAGCACCAAGCAGCCGCTGCTCGAGCAGTTTTGTCAGATTTGTCAAGTATATGCCAAGGGCGTACTCATGTGATAGTACTAGGAAGAGGATCATCTGTAATACGATAATGAATGCTATTATGGATTGCCGGTAAGTAAATGCAATAAAGTTAATTCAATTCAAAATACGCGATACATCTTATCAAGGTCGCTATGAAAGTTAATCATCATCATAATCAACTGATTTATATTTTTTTACAGAGACCAGACTTCTTGCAATTGCTTATCTATCACGGCTATTTTTCAATAGCCAATATTTAAAATCCGATATCGATTTATCGCTGTTTTATTATTATTATTATTATTATTATTATTATTATTGATAGCCAATGATTATTCGCTGCAGTGATTTAACTCTAAGTAAGTTAAGTCGGAGATTTATCTGATGCATCAACCAAGAATCCTCAACTGTACTAGTAAAGATATAGTACGCAGATACCGATTTATAAACATAATAAGAGTTTCCCGTGAAAATCAGTCGGAGCTGGTTCACAAGGTCAACTCGGTTTTATTTCATTAAGCAAACTACGTCGACGTATTTCACGTCAGTAGATTCATCTACCAGTGGGTTCTATCAATTTATACACGAGACCCCTCTTGACGCGGACACATGACGCACATGTTGGAATGAAAATTTGCCCCCAATCAAATCTCGTTGCATATTACTCGTAAACAGTAGCTCTTACTAATATTTTATTATATTTTTATTTACTATTAAAATTATTTTAATTATTATTAGGACATTGACCAAGAATAAAAATCTAATTTAATTTTTTTTAACCTTGATAAATAATATTTTCATCATCTATCATATGTCATGCAAATATAATAGTAACATATCATTGATTTTTTTTTTCTAGCACAGAAATAATACCTAAGTAAGAACATGAAACATGATTAATAACAATTTCAAATTTAAATTGAAATCTTGTGACTTTATTGGGATCAGTAGCTCAATGTTATCAATATAATTGATAGATGGATGAAATATGACATTAAAGTTTGCAGTTACTTGATCATTATTTAATTTTATTTGATAAAAAAATTTGTTTCAAAAAATTGTATTTTTAATTTCTAAATATCAATTTTTTTTTTTTAAATTATTAAATATCTACTAAATTAATTATTATTTTTTTATGACATTAAATTAACCTGTCATTTGACAACTTTTTAATTATTTTTAACAAACAAATTCGTTCAAAAAAACTATTTTTAAAAAATTACATTTTAAATTCATTAAAATTTCTACATGTCAATTTCTTTTTATAATTTTTTTTATCATAATTTATTTGCAAAAAAAATCTATTAAAATTATCAAATATCTGTTGAATTAATTTTCATTTTTTTATGACATTAAATTTAGCTTACTTGAAAATTTTTTAATTTTTTTAAACAAACAAATTAGTTCCTAAAAAATTTCATTTTTAATTTATTAAAATTTCTACTTGTTAATTTTTTTAAATAATTTATTTCTTAAAAAAATTATTAAATATTTGCTAAATTAATTTTCATGGTTGTATAAAATTAAATTGAGCAATTAATTGACAATTTTTTAATTTTTTAAAATTTCTAAATGTTAATTTATTTATTATAATTTATTTCTTAAAAAAATTATCAAACATCTGATAATTAAAAATTAATTTTCATGAATAGAATCAATGAGAATTAAAAGACAATAGAATTGAGGAAATGGTTGTTAGAGCCTTGATTTTAAGTTTTAATGCCATGGGAAAATAAAATTTTTTCAATAAAGCAACTACAAGGAGGACTTGTCTCCTTGCTCCGTTCGAGGACGTCCCCATACAATCCCGCAAGTGTTTTACCGAGTGTAGAGGCAAAGTGTACTATCACCGATCCCGATCAGACCGCGGGGAAACGATAAAGATGAAGAGATACACAGCAAGATCATCCGAGGAGTTTGCTCAATATTATTTGCATCCATGGTATAACAAGTACTGCGCGAGTTATTTATTACATCTACATACGGATAAATGTGTGCATTAAAAAATTTTATGTTAGTATTATAAGCATTATATACACTTCATACGAAGACAACAAGTAAAGCGAGAGTACGTAGATGCGTGATAGCTAGTTATCCAATTGACAGTGCCCCCGTCCGACATAGTTCAGTCGGTGGCGAACTCAAGATCTGACAGCTCCAGTTTAGCTCTTGTATTGTTGTTCATTGTTCACCACTGTCATCACTCCGAACATTGTTGTTTCTTCCCGTACATTAATTAATTACTGTCATTAATAAAATTCCACGGTAATTGCCATTGAGCGGTACTCAATCATACGCGATTTAATCATCAGTGATCCACGTTTGTTTTCATTCGTACTGCGGCTAGGCGGGAACATCATCTCTAAAAAATATTTTTTCAATTTACTGTTTGTTAATAAAGGTGTTTTTTTTTAAGGTTAGTGAATTATAAAAATTAAATTAGCCGATATCTGAAAAGTTTTATTTATTTTTTTTTTTTATTAAAAAAAATGGAAAAACTTCAAGTGCAATTTTTAATAAATATTTTTTTTTGTTTCAATTTAATAAACAAAATTAGAAACGTCGAAGTTTTTTGATTTTTTTTTTTTTAATAATTAAATTAGAACAAAAAATATTTTTTTTTTTTAATTGCACTTACAGTTTTTAAAGTTTTTTACAAATGAAATTTTTTTTTGTAGTCATTATTTCAATAAAAAAAATTAAAAAATTTTTAACGGCTAAAACTTAATTTTCATGAAAATTTTTATAATTTTTTTTTATTGAAAAAAATTAAAATAAAAAATTTCAGATGTAGAAAATTAAAAAAATTATGATTTTAAAAAATTGTTTATATTTTTTTTTATTAATTAAATTGGAACTAAAAAAATTGTATTCTGTAAATTTTCTACATGTGAAAAAAAAATTTTTTTATTACAATTTTTTCAATAAAAAGAATTTAAAAAAATTGTCAGATGTGAGCTAACTTTATTTTCATTTTTTAAATAGTTGCGTTTTTTTTTTTTGTGATATTGTTTGGTAAAAAAAAAATAACATTCAAACAATTAAAAGAACATACAACTCAGTCAGTTGTGATTATACGCTGAAAGTGTTCCCAAGTGTGTCTGGTGTATAAAAAAAATATTGTTATTGTTTTGAGAAGAAATGTGGATGAAAAATGTTTGAAATGGCTGGTGACCTCTACAGAAATGGAGCTTTGAGATCGCCTAATAGGTATTATTAATTTATTAATTTTTTTTTATAGTAAACTTGATATATCAGTATACTGACCTTCAAGCTACAATCAATCTCTTGATAATACAGATCAACTGATAACTTTAGTTAATAAATTTTTTATTACATTTTTTAGGATATATTTATGAGCTTCCTCGTATGATAATTTTCCTTGTTGGTTTAGATCCGTAACCGAGAGCTAATGAGCAATTGACTCCCGACCCTGATGTCAAAGGGAAATTAATTAAGCGCTAAATCTAATGCTGTAAAATTAATAGTTTTTTTTTTAAACTCATAACTTTATTATTTAAATTATAGCTTCTTATTTAACAATTATAATTGTTGAATATTTTTTAACTAAATTATTAAATGAAGAATATTATATATAAATTATTGTCTATTTTAAAATAGAAGCTTTCATTGAGCTGGAGCTTTAATTCCGGACGTACGTATCATATTAAGCTAAAGTACACCCGACAGTGCACTGCGATGTACATTATCTATATTATTAAGAGAATATGCAAAATTTTGTGGGCAGTGTATTTGTGTGATAAAATGGGTTTTTATGGTTAAATTTGGTGTCGTTGGAAAAGTCTTTACCTGGAATTGTGCCTTTTCAAGGTTTCATATCATTCTCACCAATAGTCAATTTATGATGATAAGTATTTAGGCTGCATTCGAAAATGCTCTATCTCTAGATACATAATTAAGAAATGACCTTGTATCTTGTGAACTATTGACATTTTTAAAGATATAAGCTCATCCCGATATTACACTCATCGAGACCTTTCATTTGAGTACCCACATCAATTTTTCATATATTTATATATATATATATATATATATATATATATATATATATATATATATATATATGTGTACATATAAAAAATATATAAAAATTCTTAAATATTAGAATTTTTAAAGATATAAGCTCATCACGATGTTATATTAATCAAGACCTTTCATTTAAGTATCCACATCAATTTTTCATATATTTATATATATTATATATATGTATATATGAAAAATATATAAAAATGGCATGTGGGTACTCAAATGAAAGCTCTTGATGAGTGTAACATCGGGATGAGCTTATATCTTTAAAAATATCAATAATTAAAAAAGTACAATGCAATTTAACAAAATTCATTGTTTAATAAAGCAAAATTTTATTTATAGTTCATAAGTCACGGCAGTCACATAGTGACTGCAAGGTTGCCAGTATATTAATAATCATAAATAAAAAATAAAAATTTACTTTTTAGATCAGGAAAACAATTTCCACCCTTATGACCTTCCACATGACTGTTTGGTCGTCCTTGTGTTGGAATGACGGGTGTAAAAAGATAAAATAATGCTGTTGACGAATTATCAACTAAGCAAAGTAAATAAAGTTAGGAAAAGAAATGTGGTAATTGGTTTTTATGGTACGTAGGTATCTTCTTGGAGAATTGGTCATTTAAATTGCCAGTGGGCGTTTGGTGTACTTAGTTATCACGACTGATGGCTTTTTGTATGTCATACGTGACATACGGCTCAAGCTCTATGTATAATATAATAACAATAATATTGTATGTATATAAAGTCAAATTAATATCGGTGGTAATACACGTATGTAATGTGTAATATGATTACTTGACGGTATTCAACACATTGTAGATCAAAGCTCTTATTAAGAACCACCGACAAATTAATCTTTTAACCCAAATTTAAACCCCCAATCATTGCAAAATCTAACGACCTACGGCTACTTATTCTGTCCTCTTGACATGGTTTTTTTAATAACAACTAATAAAATTATGTGGATATATTTTCTTGAATTATACTGAGAGAAAAAATTATTTTATTTCTTCTTAGCTGAAGAAATAGAAATTTTTTCTCACAATAACTTTCTTGTTGAAAAAAAATTTTTTGGATTTGGAAAAAAATTCTCAAGATATCTATCTGAAATTTGTTTTTTTTCCAAATTTAGAAAACGTTTTTACAACAAGAAAATTACTGTGAGAACAATTTTCATTTCTTCAGCTAATAAAATTATTAAAAATTTTGCAACAAATTTATTTCTTGTCACAAAAAAGTTCATTTTTTTCAAAAAAAATTTTTTCTTTCAGTGTAACAATTATTATCATTATTGTCAAAAAAATTCATAATATTTTATTTTATTGCTAAAGTAATGTCCAAAAATCTTTGACCATTTAAAACAATTATTATACATTGAGAAAAAAAAATTTCTTTTAAAAAATATGGGGATTTTTGTGAGAAATAAATGAATTTATTAGAAATTTTCAATAATTTTATTTTTTAGCTGAAGAAATAAATATTTCTTCTCACAGTAAATTTTATGTTGTAAAAAAGTTTTCTAGATTTGGAAAAAAATGAATATCTTGAGAATTTTCATCCAAATGTAGAAACTTTTTTTTTTAAAAAAAATTACTTTGAAAAAATTTTCATTTCTTCATCTAAGAAATAAAATTTTTTTTAATTTCTAAAGAATTAATTTCTGTCACAAAAAAGTTAATTTTTTTTCAAAGTAACAATAATCATTATTGTCAAAAAAATACATAATATTTTGTTTTATCGCTAAAGTAATGTCAAAAACCTTTCACAATTAATTAAAGATTATTTTTAAGACTATAATGAATAAAAAAAAATTATAACTTAATCTTTAACACAAAATACATTTAAATAATTAAAAAAAAAAAATAAAAGCGCTCGATAATATAATCAGAGATATTTCTTAGGTAGTCACGACCGTTTCTGTTTGATTATTTACCTACAATATATTATTTAAATAGCCGTCCCTTCTATTATACTAGACAAGATTAGGTCGCGCACGAAGCATTAACACAAATAATGTTTATCGAAAAATATTTCCTTCAGTTAGAGCCAAACTTTATAATATTTCGAATCGAAGCTAGTGATACAAATAAATAATTTTCTTCTTAGCCTCTTAACTTAATATTAAAAAAAAAAAAATATACATTACTCAAAATTTAAGCGTCCAAAAATTCTTTAAATAAATATCAGCATCGATATGTTTGTACATAAATTTAACGAGTGTTAAAAATATTATCTTTAAAGCGATTTAAAATAAAATAAAAACAATGAATTAACACGGGGGCATAATCGTGATTGTAAAAGAAGCAAACAGAGCTCGTGACTTAGCGTGCGTCAAAAGAAACGTCACTAAATATTAGATTAACAACTGTATTGTACCGAGAATTATTATACAATTGTCAGTAAATTGTTTGGGTTATTATTTATCGAGAGAGTGACTAAAGGAGCAAGTAACGGTACATAATAAGTAATAAGTAAGAAGAATATAAGTTAAGAAGATGAGTGTAGTAGGGAAGATCTGTAGTGATGATGGACTTAAAATAACCAGCACAACAACCGGTGAATTATTTTTAGATCAACAGGATGAGATTTACAATACGATAGAGTCTAAAAATAACTCGTAAGTCCAATCCAGCTCCAATTATTCCATTTAGGTATTTAGGTGACAATCGAGTGACCGCTTGGCAATTTAGAAATATTCCACGCGATCAAGAGCAAGGGGAAAGCTTTTATTTTTTATTCCATTATTTCATGTTAACATCACTCGAGATTATTTATCGTTTATGTTCATTGATTGTTATGAAATATTTCCATTTACTCTTCAGTCTTAAGACAATAATAATATTGGCATTTAATTGTCCGATTTTAAATCTTAAAAATAACTGCTATCAATATTGATACAATTAATCTTGCAATGTGTAATTTTTAATACAAAGATTAATTGTAACTCATTAAATTTCCATCAATGAAGTTATCAAAATGAGTTTTTTTATTCATCTGTATTATTAAGAGAATAAGCAAAATTTTGTGGACAGTGTATTTATATGATAAAATGGGTTTTTATGGTTAAATTTGATATCGTTGGAAAGGTTTTGAACTGGAGTTGCGCTTTTTTAAGGTTTCATATCATTCTCACCAATAGTCAATTTAGGATGATAAGTATTTAGGCTGCATTCTAAAATGTTCTATCTTTAGATATATAATTAAGAAATTACCTTGTATCTTGTGAACTATTGACATTTTTAAAGATATAAGCTCATCCCGATGTTATGCTCATCAAGACCTTTCATTTGAGTACCCACATCAATTTATCATATATTTATATATAAAATGAAAGCTCTTGATGAGTGTAACGTCAAGATGAACTTATATCTTCAAAATTGTCAATAGTTCATAAGATACAAGGTCATTTCTTAATTCTCTACCATTATCTCTAGATACGTAATTAAAAAATTACTTGTATCTCGTGAACTATTGATATTTTTAAAGATATAAGCTCATCCCAATGTCACACTCATCAAGACCTTTCATTTGAATACCCACATCAATTTTTCATATATTTATATATATTAGCTATATGTATATATGATAAATATATCAAAAATGCATGTGGGTACTCAAATAAAAGCTCTTGATGATTGTAACATCGGGATGAGCTTATATCTTTAAAAATCTCAATAATTAAAAAAGTACACTGCAATTTAACAAAAGTCTTTATATAATAAAGCAAAATTTTATTTATATATACTTTACAAGTCCCGGCAGTCACATAGTTGCTAGTTTATTTTAATTGCAAATTAATAATTTTCATGATTGTTTTTTTTTTGTTTGCAGAATCGTCAGCAAAATGCGACACCGTAAAAATGAACTGGTTAAAGATTTTGACATTTCTAATCCAGTGTCGGATGACCAGCTAAAGTTTCAGGACACTGGATTTTTCACGGGCTTTGTTCTAGGAAGAAATAGGTAATTTTATTTTTTTAATTTATAAATTTATTTCAGAGTTGTAAATATTATTTTATCAACGGCAGCCTTGTTTCAATTATAAATGAGTCTCATAATTTACAATTTAACGATCAATTGATCATAAAAGTGAGTCATTTATCACGATTGAAGCATTTGAGTAATAAAATACACGTGGAGTTTAATAAAACCGGCGATAAAAAATCTTTTAAACAAACAAATAACTTACTGTGAATAAGTTCATTGCCAAAAATATACTGTTTAACTTATAGTATTGAAATAATGCGTTTCACAGTTAAACGACAACTGATTCTTCAATAATTTACCTAGATATTTTATAGCAAATGCACACAGAGAAATATTATACATATAGGATATAAAATCTGCGACAGATGATCTTTAAATCCAAGCAAATAAATTTACTGATAATAGTATTTACAGTTTCATTTTCACACGAGATTTAATAAAATTCAGTAATCTCTCAATTTATACTTGACACGTTAAATTAATAAATTAAGCTATTATCTTTTCTCTTTTTCTAATCAATTTTAAAATCAATTTTAAATATTATTGAGGTAAAAGACTCAGTTACTAACACTGGCCTAGTTATTTGACTTGCAATTTTATTATAATTATGACATTAAAGTTAGCAGTTACTTGATCATTTTTTAATTTTTTTTAACAAAAAAATTTGTTCCAAAAAATTATTTTTAAAAAATTGCATTTTTAGTTTTTTAAAATTTATAAATGTCAATTTTTTTTTGTCATAATTTATTTGTTAGAAAAAACATCAACAATCTGCTAAATTAATTTTTATAAAATTTTCTCAAAAAAACAATTATCTTAAAATTTATAATTCACAAATTATATTAATTAATTAATTAAAATTCATTTAATTCTGGTTTATATTGATGACACTGAAGTTGAGGACTTTTAAAAAATTTTTTTTAACAAATAAATGATAGCAAGAAAAATTTATTTAAAAAATTCCATACTTAGAAAATCTAAAAAATTATAAATGTAATTTTTTAAAAATAATTTTCTAAAATTAGTTTATTTTTACAGAAAAAATCTAAATGGATCTAAAGATTTTATTTTTTTTTTTTTTTTTTTCAATTAAAATAAAATTGCAAGTTTCAATAACTGGATCTTTTACCTTAACTAAATAATAAAAATAAATTATTAAATAGAAAAAAAAATTTTTTTTCCAATTAATTAAATTTTTCTCAAACTCTTTTCTTCTTTTCTCTTTCTCTCAATTATTAAATTCACGTGCTTGTTATTAACACAAACAAGATCCATACAGTTGTATATAAACACTCTTAAATTAATCATATGTGATGATGAGATCTCAGTTTAAGTTAATATAACAAGAGTGTGCCGTTGACTAGTATATCGCGTGCATTTGAGACAGCTCGTTGGCTTAGATTCGACACTTTATTTCGTCGCGACGTAATTGACCTTCTGACATTACTAATTATTTCATCTCAATATTTTTCTTCACCATTATTACCCTCTTAACATCATAGTATACAAACATAAATTTGTTTCTTCATTATTATCATTCTCTTACATCATTTGTCGAGGAATAAAGGGTGCATGAGTTCTTTCTCTACTCCGTTAAATCGTTGGTGGGTCCAACTAACTGGCGATAATGACCGATATAATGCCAGTAGTAAAAAAATCTCGAGGTTGTCTCAGTATTGGAGATACAAGTATCCGAACAATTGCACCCGAGATTATCGTAGATTCTTTAATTGTGACATTAATCGGCTAGTTAAACTGCTGCATCTTGACAAGCGTTCAGATAGGTGAGTCCCAAGTTTTTTTCTCCAGTTGCAGTTAATTCCAATAAGTCTAATCGCGAAGATTAATTTATAAAGTCTTAGTGAGTAATGTGAAATATGTGTATCAATTGCAATGTCATGTAGCAATCTCTATTTGGCAGAGGTGCGTCTCTCCTCGGACAGTGATTAATCCTCTCAATAGTTTGGCCTTCATACGCTACGTACCGGTATTAAACTACTTGATACACTCTGTTTATAATAAACCTTGCTCCAAACCTGAATCTGCTCTGGCTTTCAAGTTTTTACTTCTTGTAAATAAATTTTATTTTTTTTTTCAAATACATTATCAACGTCTTGATCATTTTTTTTAAACAAATAAATAATTTGTTTTGAAAAATTTCATTTTTAATTTATTAAAATTTCTACTTGTCAATTTTTTTTTGATAATTTAATTGTTAAAAAAATTATTAAATATCTGCTAAATTAATTTTAATATTTTTATGACATTAAATTGAGCTCACATAATTTTTTAATTTTTTTTTAACAAACAAATTAGTTCTAAAAAATTGCATTTTTAATTTATTAAAATTTCTACTTGTCAATTTTTTTTTTTTTTTTTATAATTTATTTGTTAAAAAAATTATTAAAATTATAAAATATCTGCTCAATTAATTTTTATTTTTTTATAATATTAAATTTAACTCACTTTACAATTTTTTAATTTTTTATTAAGAAATAAATTAGTTCTAAAAAATTGCATTTTCAATTTATTAAAATTTCTACTTGTCAATTATTTTTCTTGATAATTTATTTGTTAAAAAAATAATTAAAAATCTGCAAAATTAATTTTCAAGTACCTGAAACAAAAAAAACACTCGATTATGTTATAAATTATTAAATAAAAATTACATCGGTAACAAAAATCGACAACCGTTGAGAGAAATGAATGATTATCGATGAAAAATGTAATTTATATTTGAACAACGATAGTTATTTATTTTTTAATAACACTCTAGCGATGATCACCAGATAAGAGTTTAGTGAACGATACAGATGGTTTGATAATTACTTATCAATTGCGTCACCGTTTTTTATACTGAAAATTAAAAAGTGATTAAGATATAATTACATATGTACAGTGATGATAATTAAAGACTGTTATATTAATTTGTTAGGCCTGTGAAAATAAAAACAATTGAAGTTTTGAATAAAAATAAATAAATATCGTCACTTTTATGCAAACATTAGATCCAAAATATATTTCAACACGGGCACGATAAATATATGAGTGTAAATGAAAAAACCTGTTTTATCTTTCATCTTTATCTTCATAGACATCTAACTAGTAACTAACTTATTATATTAGTATACAAATCCAAATTAGTATATGACATTAAAGTAAGCAGTCTTGACTATTTTTTAATTTTTTATAAACAAAATTTGTTTTTAATAAATTGCATTTTTAATTTTTAAGTCAATTATTTTTTATGAAAATTAATTTAACAGATATTTTACAATTTTAATAATTTTTTTAATAAATAAATTTTGTTTAAAAAAAAAATTGATATTTAGAAAATTGAAAATGCAATTTTTTATAAATAATTTTTCGGAGCAAATTTTTTAATTAAAAAAAAATTAAAAAATGATCAAGTGATTGTTAATTTTAAATAAAAATTAAGTTAGCCGACATTTAAAAATTTTTAGAATTTTTTTTTTAATTGAAAAAATGATTAAAAAAAAATTTTCACTGGTAAAAAACTTTAAAAACTGTAAGTGCAATTTTTAATTAAAAAATATTTAATTTAATTACTAAAAAAAAAAAATTAAAAACGTCGGCTAACTTTATAATTATTAACTTTAATGTTATTTATTTTTTACCATAATTTATTAATAAAAAAAAATTAATTTTCATAATAAATATTTTTATTTTAAACTCCAGGATTATTTCTCCAGACGTAATACCATCCTGTTCGCCGGGAATTTTCCGACAAAAATCATTTCGGACATCTTCAACGGAAGCTGAAGTTACTAAGATATCATCAGAGAACCTGGGTATACCTTTATCACCAGGTAATCATCATCAGTGCAGTCATATTAGTCCCAAGGAGCACAACTCCGTTATAATTACCAATCACTCTGTGTCTAACAACAAAAATTACAAAAACATCAACAACAACAATAACAACAATACCAATAATAATAATAATAACAACAACAACAATAATAATAATAATACTCGAAAAAATAATAAAAACACTAGTAGTAATTTAACGTTAAGTGGTGGAGGTTTTCGTAATTGGGGATTGAAAAACACCGGCAAGCATTCACGTCTAACTACGGTCCTGTCAAATAAAATGGCGTCGACGAGCACGACAGCGGTTGTTCAGGGCTGGCCAAATACCAAAGACGATTATGAATTAAAAGAGGTTATAGGTAATTATTTACACCCTTTTATTATTTTTATTAAACTAAACTTTATAAATAATTTCAATTTTCAAGTGCGTTTATTTTTAATTACCATTTTAGTTTTTTATTAATTATTCTTAGTTGTGCTACCAAGTGTTCAATCTCCAAGTCACTCGTGTTACATAAAATTGTTGATTAAATATTTACCTGTCTATTGTTATTCCATTATTCCGCTAATTTTTACTTACATTAATTACCGATAATTATTTTTTTAATTACTGTCGGGTTTTTTTCACTTAACTTTCCGTGAAAACCGGTTGCAAATTTGTGCTAACCTAGTCGTGGAATTTTTAGTCGTTTATTGACTGGTTTCAAATTGCATAAATTGTAAACAAAATAAATATATATATATATATTTTTTTTTATATAAAAGTAAAGTTAGCCGATGAAAATTAAATTAGACGATTTAAAAATTTTGATAATTCATTTTATTGAAAAATAATTTTAAAAAAATTAAAACAAAAAATTTCACATGTAGAATATTTTAAAAATTATCCGTGAAATTTTTTAAAAATACTTTTTTAGTTCTAATTTTTAATTAAAAAAAAAAAATCAAAAATTTTTGCATATCAGCTAACTCAATTATCATAGTTAGCCGACGTTTTTAATTTTTTGATTTTTTTTTAATAATTAAATTGGAATAAAAAAATATTTTTTTTAAATTGCACTTACAGTTTTTAAAGTTTTCTACAAATGAAATTTTTTTTTTTTTCTATTTTTTTAATTTCGGCTAACTTAATTTTAAATATTGTATTTTAATGCTGAGAATTTTTTTTTATTTAGGTGTTGGAGCCACAGCTGTAGTGCACGCTGCATTTTGTATTCCCCGTCAAGAAAAGTGTGCGATAAAGCGCATAAATTTGGAAAAATGGAATACGAGTATGGACGAGTTGTTGGTAAGATGTGTATTTTGATGTGTATCGTATATCACGTTTTATTGTTGAAATAATAATAATAATAAAGTTCAACGGAGCTATTAATAAATTGTTTTATTTAGAGATCGGAAATCTTGAGAGTAAATGTAAATATTGAGACACTATATCACTTTATGTTAAAAGAAATATAAATATAAATAGTAATTTATTTATTATTTATGAAACATTTAATATTTGCGTAATATCTACTCATTGATTATTTCTAATATGATCTATTGTCTTTAAATAAGATGATACAATTTTTTTGCGATAGCTTATCAATGTTAAATAATTACACTTGTATTATTTATTTTGTGAGTAACTTATTTTCAATGTTTTTTTTTTTTAATTTTCTGCAGAAAGAAATCCAGGCGATGTCATCCTGCAATCACGAGAACGTGGTGACCTATTACACGTCTTTTGTCGTAAAAGAAGAGCTATGGCTGGTATTAAGACTTCTTGAAGGCGGTTCGCTGCTGGATATCATAAAACATAAAACAAGAACTACTAATTGTAAACACGGAGTGTTTGATGAGGCTACAATAGCAACAGTACTTCGTGAAGTGCTCAAAGGCCTTGAGTATTTCCACAGTAATGGACAAATTCACAGGTATGAAATTTATTTTACCGATTAATATAAAATCTTTATGTGTTAATCTATATTATTAAGAGAATAAGAAAAATTTTGAAGATACTCTATCTCTAGATACATAATTAAGAAATGATATTGTATCTTGTGAACTATTGACATTTTTAAAGATACAAGCTAATCCCAATGTTACACTCATCGAGACCTTTCATTTGAATACCCACATCAATTTTTTCATATATACATATCAAAATGCATGTGGGTACTCAAATGAAAGCTATATCTTTAAAAACATTAATAGTTAAGAAAGTAAAGTGCAATTTAACAAAATTCATAGTTTAATAAAGCAAAATTTTATTTATTTATAATTCACGAGTTAACAATTAATTAACAATCAAATTATTTTTTTTAGGGATATAAAAGCTGGTAATATACTACTGGGAGAAGATGGTACTGTCCAGATAGCAGATTTTGGTGTCAGCGCCTGGTTAGCAACTGGACGTGATTTAAGTAGACAAAAAGTTCGACATACTTTCGTCGGTACACCTTGTTGGATGGCACCGGAAGTCATGGAGCAGGTGAGAGAGGAAAGTTACACTACAATTTTATAGTTTGCACAATTGCAGTGTCGCATGTTCATTATCACTTTTTTTTTATTATTAAAATTAATAAATGCATCTGTATGTATATTTTACTAGATGGTAAACTCAAACATTTATTTGCTTGACAATAAATAATTGTTTTTTTTTTTAATTTATTAGTCGACGCTATTAACATCCTTGAAGCTTGTAATTTTTTTTGCGCTATATAATTGATAGAGTAATTTAAAAAAAAAAAAATAGTACATATGTCTGGTTTCAAAACAGATATTTTAATCATCGTTTCTATTTATACAGGATCATGGGTATGATTTCAAAGCTGACATATGGTCGCTGGGGATTACTGCCATTGAAATGGCAAGTGGTACAGCTCCTTATCACAAGTATCCGCCGATGAAGGTTCTTATGCTTACGTTACAAAACGACCCACCGACACTGGATACCGCTGCTGATGAAAAAGATCAATACAAAGCTTACGGTAAAACATTTCGTAAGATGATTGTTGATTGTTTACAAAAGGACCCTACTAAAAGGTAAATTTTATTAATAATAAAATATTTTTTATCTTGATAATTTTATTAATTTATTTATTTATTTTAGGCCGTCAGCAACAGAATTATTAAAGCATCCGTTCTTCAAAAAAGCTAAAGATAAAAAATACTTGCAACAAACACTAGTTGCAATTGGACCTAGCCTCGAGACTCGTGTACAAAAGGTATTTTAATTATCTTGTTATTTAAAATCAATAGTTGTTGTAAGCATATGTAAAACATATTATTTATACGTATAAATATTTAAATAGGCGTCTAAACGACAACCCGGAACATCTGGTCGTTTGCATAGAACGGTCACCGGCGAGTGGGTATGGTCGTCGGAGGAAGAGGACAGCGGGGCTTCTAGTGGGGATGAGGGTAAAGAAACCTTACCTGTTAATACTATTGACAATGTTAGCAGTGAAGAGGAGGCTGCTGACCAGGAAGATTCCGAAGGTCAAGTACGAGCAGCCATGAGTCGCGTGGCTCTTCAGTCTGCTGAGCAAAATATTCCTATTAATCTTGTTCTTAGATTACGGTAATTAATGAAAATTAATTTAGCAGATATTTATTAATTTTTAGAATTTTTTTAACAAATAAATTATGGCAAAAATAAATGCGAAAAAAAAATTCAAATCTAGAAATTTAAAAAAAAAAATTATAAATGCCAATTTTTAAAAATAATTTTTCAGAAAAGATTTATTTGTTAAATAAAATTAAAAAATTATTAATTGACTGCTCTTTAATGTCATTATGAATTACTTTTGATATTTTTCGTATTTTTCAGACGTCCAGACACCCAATTCTCCTTTGACAATGATCCTTTTTTCCTGCTTCCTAATCAGTTATTATTATCACTTAAATAATTTATTTATTCTGGTAATTTATCGTATGTATTAATTGTCCTAATAAATATTTTGTTTTTTATAGAAATCAAAAGAGGGAATTAAATGACATTAGATTCGAATTTGCTGTTGGTGTCGATTCTGCAGAAGGTATTGCAGCTGAATTAGTAGGAGCTGGTCTAGTCGACGGTAAAGATATCGTTGTTATAGCCGCTAATTTACAAAAACTTATCGACAGTGCTGGACAATTACGTACTGTAACCTTTTCATTGGTAATTATTTATTTATAAATTATGAATAATTATTATTCAACGTAAATAATAATATTAAAAATTTTAATTTGAATTACAGAATTCTGGTCATGCTCCCAATGAAATACCTGATGATAAAGCATTAATTGGATTTGCTCAGATTTCAATAACCGATTAGGTCAATTATTGTTTTCCATTTATTAATTATAATTTATATTAATTATTGAAAAATATTCTGAATACTCAGGATACTATTTTACGCGCTCCAAATCATTAATACAAAATTTAAATTTTATTTTTAACAATTAGGTATTAAATATAGAAAAAATGAATTTATAATTTTTTGAAATTAACCCAAAAGAATGAACAATAAATATGAATAATGATTATAAAGCGTTTAAATATCCAAGACTCAATTAATGTTGGTAAGAATTTAAAAAATGAAAAAAAAAAAAAAAAATATAAAAAGGCTCAGAAATGTTATCAGTGTTTTTGAAAAGTATAATTATGCATCGAGGTATTTTGTAATCAATTATTTAATAAAAATAATGAACAGATTATTTTAAGTGGATGTCAAAAAATAATCCGAAAAATGGTACATTATTATTCCGCATTTTAAAAGTTTTAATTATTATTTATTCACGAGCTAACGTGGATAATAATGTTTAATCTAATTAATTTTTATTATAAGATATGTTAATTTATGTAAATATTAGACGTTTATTTCTTACGATCATTATTTGAATTTATTTAAACAATAGCGAGGCATTATAAATTTTAAATAATACAGTTTATAACAATACAACAAAAACTAATAATATTTATTGATATTATTATTATTATTATTATTTATCTAAAATTTATAATAAGTTTATTATATATAATTAATCTGTAATTCCGCTGTGTTAAATGTTTATCGTATTTGGAATTTTTATTCTCAATTAATACGATTAAAAAGAGCGAATTATTTATAATAAAATAAATAATTAAATAAAATAACAGAAGTATATTTCACGCTTAAAAGCCTTAGCATTTAGGAAAAATAATTAAACACAAGAGTACTAAAATTAAATAAATTTTTTTGTACTTAAAAAAATCTAGATATTAAAAAAAAATAAATTAGCGTAACTTCACGGCTTGTAGAAGTTTTACTGTCGGACTAGAATTTTTACACTCGGCTTTCATGTATTTAAGAAACGAGACAAAGAAAAAAAAAAAACAAAAAACATTTAAAAACTTAGAATTTAGATCTGGGCCTCTACGATTATAATAGGTTATTATTATTATAATAAATAATTGTAATTTAATTAATTAATATCAATTGCAATATATTTTGGCTTATAAACAAAATAGTAGATAAAACAGTTTAATATTAATATCTTGTCTTTTTATTTTGTTATTCATTTATTTTATTTGTTTCATCATTTAATCATCCATATTGTAGTATAATTTATTGATTTTTAATTCATAGATTAATTTTATTTTTTTTTTTAATTTAAATTATCAAGATATTATAAAATTAACTTATAAAATAATAAAATATACATTAGCTGTGTTTTTGAACAACGAGATAATTCGTTAATATTGTTGTTACAATTAATAATAATAATAATTCTTTATTTAAAAACAATATTATGCACGCCTTGTTGCTGTAAGTTGATTATTAAAGCGGCATAATTAAATCAAAATTGCAATAATTTAATAATTGTAAACAATTATAAATAAAGAAACAAATGTTCTAATGATAAATCTAAACAAATTAAAATGGCACTATATCATTAGTATTTAAAGTCATGTAAAAAATAAATTTAAAAAAAATTCAATACGTACGTTGCGGTAGTGTAATGTGCCTTATTACGATACAATACTGCAAATTAATTATTTTTGTTTCTTTTTGTAAGATATAAATTTTTCATCTTATCTTTTTTATTCCAAGGCATTTGCAAGTGATTAATATATCAATAAAAATTAATAATTATTGCCGTGCCAAATAAATTAGCTTGAATATTCAGCAAAGTAAATTAAAAAATATAAAAATTTTAATTACCTGTTTGATGTATTGCTTTGATTGTGAAATTAACAAAAATTACTCTTACAGTACTTAATATGTTGCTTCCAAAATTAATTGTGTAGCGAAATGAAAAATTATTCTTTTTATATATAAAAAAAAATACATTAATAATATATGAAAAGAATTGTTTATCAATGCTTATTAATATAATATGTTGTTTTCTTTTCTTCTATTCTGTATACATTGATTGATAAAATTTTTTGTATACATATCAAAATTTTAACCAAAAAAAAAAAAGAAAAAAAACTTGCCTTTTACTTTTTATTATTTCTTCTCAAAGCCCTTTTTTCTATTTTAATTCTTAGAGTTGAAGAATAATGACACTCAAGTCAGCTGACAGCTGTCAATTTTTTCTATTTTAATAACAAATCAATTACACTAAAAAAAAAAAGCTTCTAAAACCTTTTACTAATAATTTTTAGACTTGGAATTTTTTAATTAAATTTTTTTTCATAACAATTTCACTGCTATAAAATTAAAAAAAAAATTTCATGTCAAAATAAAGAACTACCAGCTTGAAAAATTTCCCGCTAAAAACAAAAATCATCTTAAACCGCCATCTATATTATTTATAACAAGAAGAGCACAGTGACACTTTATCAAAAGTTTATCAGCTTTCTTTTTTTACATTAACTATATCTAGATACTTACATCTACTTGTTAAGATCCAGCTGATGTCATATATAAACATGCGATGCACCTGCAAGACGAATAAAGCTATTAAAATCTGCTTGTAAGTGTATATATTGTATAAATTGTACAAAGTGCGCAGTATCTGCCAAGAGTGTCAGTAGTACCCAGACAAGGGGACAAATGTTTGTAATTATTAATTCGTTAATCATCCAAAGTGAAAATTAACATCTTGAAAGTATTTTTGTGGGAACCAGGGTTTGCCCGTTGTTGGGCTCTCCCGGCCCGAGACCATTCAGACATGTCTATTAGATTCCTTGCTCAACGTTTGGTTCAACATGGTCGTATTATTCTTCATACGCTCCGCAACAACGAGCTACGTTATTCAAACACTCATGCTAAAAATCACTTTATCAAGATACACGTTGTTCCAGTAGGTAAGTCATCCTCGTCGTCGTTATCATTTTTTTCCACCAACCTCATCATCATCATCATCAACTAAATCCTACTATAAATATTAATGACATTAAAGTTAGCAGTCATTTGACCATTTTTTAATTTTATTGAACAAATTTGTTCCAAAAAAATTGTATTTTTAATTTTTATATTAATTTTTTTTGCCATAATTTATTTATTAAAATTATTAAAAGTCTACTAAATTAATTTTCATTAAAAAATGACATTAAAGTTAGCCGTCACTTGACAATTTTTAAATTTTATTTAACAAACAAATTTGTTCTAATGAATTATTAAAAAAAAAAATTGCATTTTTAATTAAAAAAAATTTTTTTTGCCATTATTTATTTTTTAAAATTATTAAATATCTACTAAATTAATTTTAATTAAAAAATGGCATTAAAGTGAGCCGTCATTTGAAAATTTTTTAATTTTATTTAACAAACAAATTTGTTCTAAAAAATTATTTTTAAAAAACTGCATTTTTAATTTAAAAGAAATTTTTTTTTTGCTATAATTTATTTGTTAAAAAAATTATAAAATATCTTCTAACTTAATTTTAATTAAATATCAATGATTATTTTTCTCCGCATCATTCTCAATTATTATGTCACGTTTTCTTGATAATAATGATAATTAACAATCAAATTAATTTACTTATTTTTTATTTAGGAAAATCCCTAGGCCCAACGCCTCAGGGTACTAGCAATGCCACTCACGTTAGGTCGCATCTCGGTTACCTTGGAGCCCAAGCAAGACGTATCTTCGTAGATAACATCTTAAGACGAGTTACCAACAGCTTGGCCGGTGAATTACGAAAAAAAGCAGCAAATCGTCATTTATTCGGTGACTCAGCTCCATTTTTTGCGTTAGTTGGAGTATCATTGGCTTCAGGTACCGGAATTCTGACTAAAGACGACGAACTAGAAGGGGTTTGCTGGGAAATTAGAGTAATTATCACTACATTAATGTCAATTTTTCTAATAACCATTTTTCTAACAAAATAAATATCATATTTTAGGAAGCTGTTTCGAAATTACAATGGATGAAACCCGAAAATGACAGAAATTACGAATCACCGGAGATTGAAAAGCAGCCGACATCAACTACGAGTCTCCAGGATTTCGTATTTGGACCGGCGATAGCCAAAGGCTGCTCCGCAGTAGTTTACGCAGCACGTTTCAAAGAAGAAACTTTAAACACCACAGCGAGTAAAGTAGATGGCCCAATTGTAAAAGCCGACGATGAAGATGTGGCTAATTTTCCATTGGCTATTAAGATGATGTTCAACTACGACGCCGAGTCCAATTCTATGGCGATATTACGAGCTATGTACAGAGAAACTGTTCCGGCTAGAAAGTACGAACGCGGTGAACTGACCGATTGGGAGTTGAGAATCGCTGATAACAAACGTGCTCTTCCGCCTCATCCTAATGTCGTTGCCATGTACCATGTATTCACTGATAGAATTCCATATTTACCCGGTTCATGGCAATTGTATCCTGACGCGCTACCAGCGCGAATAAATCCCGAAGGTTCTGGAAGAAATATGAGCTTGTTTTTACTTATGAAAAGGTATAATTAAGTTAGTAAGCAGGTATTAATTTAAGTGGGATTAATGTCATTACTGATCATTACTTATTTATAGGTATGATATTACTTTGAAAGAATACATGGTTGATCATCCAGTAAATATTCAAGAGTCTGTTTTACTATTCGCACAATTGTTGGAAGGTATTGCTCATATCAATGCCCATGGAATTGCTCACAGGTACTTTAATTCATTTTTTTTATTTATTTATTTATTTATTTACTTATACGCCAATCGGCTTTATACATACTGATAATACAAAATTCTGAGAGAAATTAATATAAAAAAAAATTATAATAGAAGAAAAACTAATGTACAAAAGAAAAAGTATTGCGAGACTATGTTACAAGATTGCTTTTAATTTAGCTAAGAATAGTTAAATTATAGGAACCTTCAAAAAAATTGCTGTCTGTGTGATATTTATTAATCTGATATTCTGTTTCTGGAACTATTGATGACATAGTTTTTATTAGATTTATTTGTTTTCAGTAGTTGATTATGCTTAAAGTTAAAATTACTGTGAGTAGAGATGTTAATTATCTATTTTATATTTTTCAGAGATCTAAAGAGTGATAATATTCTGCTGGATATATCCGAAGAAACGGACAATTGTCCATCACTGGTAATCACTGACTTTGGATCATGTCTTGCGGACAAACGTCACGGTCTCTATCTTCCTTTCAACTCTCACGATGTTGACAAAGGAGGAAATATAGCGCTCATGGCTCCAGAAGTGGTCACTGCTGAGCCAGGTCCTTTCACGAGTATTAATTACACTAAAGCAGATCTATGGACTGCTGGTACAATTGCCTACGAAATTTTCGGTATGGTGAACCCATTTTATGGGGGAAAAAATGAAACTGCACAGTTGAAGAATTACACTTATTCAGACAGTGAGCTGCCGGATTTACCGGAAACTGTTCCTACTATAATTGCTGCGCTTGTTAAGAATATATTGAGCCGTAGTGTTTATAAGGTAATAAAATATTCATTTAAATTAATGAATAGACTGAAAGAAAAAATTAATTCTTAGCTAAGAAATAAATTTTTTTTTAATTTCTAAAAAAATTAATTTTTTGTCACAAAAAATTTCATTTTTTCAGTGTTATTTAATTATTAACATAACTAATTGTACTTATAGAGAATGAGTGCTGAAATGGCAGCAACTATAATGCAACTGTACTTGTGGGCTCCCAGCGCTTGGCTTAGAAAGCGCAATAAATTGCCGTCGAGCAATGAAATTCTTCAATGGTTACTCTGTTTAACTACCAAAGTTCTTTGCGAAGGTCGTGAAATAGAGATACTTAACTCAATGCCCTCGTCTAGTCAGGACGAAAAAGTCGAGAAGAAAAATTACCGCAGATTGATATCCACTCGGTTGAGTGGAAGACGTACCATGCCAGAGTACCAGTTGATCGCTAGTTTTCTCGGCAGGGTAAGCTTGTACAATGTCCGCGAAGGGTTACAGTGGATCGACCGAAATACCAATTTTAATTAATTAAATACTTAAACTTCTGGTAATTAATCGAAAGTCACTAATTATTATTACGTATTCAAAATTCTTCATGAAATTTAAAATTTATTTTTTTATAAATTTTTAAAACTTTTTATTGTTAATTATTGTTCAATCCAATTGGCATGAATTTTGATTTGATATCGAAATATTTTATGCTAAAGTAAATTATGTGGAAGTAATTTGGTTGTTAGATTTAAAATCTAATGAATTTTGTACAGAAATAGGAGTGTTATATTAGATTATATAATTAATATATAGATATTAATATTAGAATATTGGAAAAAAAAAAAAATTAAACAAAGACATATTAAAGTACTGGAAGGCCTGGATAATAGATAAAAGATAATAGATAACTTATGTAAATAATAATAATAATAATAATACTGAAGAAAATAAATGAATATTATTTCATAATTATTATTCTTGACAATTTTTCACGATGAAGAACTGTGCGTAGGCTCCGGAGGTTTGCCGCAAGTCTGCAATTTATATTTTACCCGGCTTAAACTCAATTCTTTAGTGTCTGCTAAGTCTTCTAGATAAATAAGAAATTCGTCGTAGGAAATAGCCCGTTTTTTAAATTGGAAAAAACACAAAAAAGCATCCGTTGAAGTGACACGTGACTCGTCGATTACTTTTGCAGACACTAACCATCTGTTGAGTTGGGAAAATGACAGAAGATCTACTTCAATTACATCGGCTAATGTGTCCAATTGGCAGTACGCTAATATCAATATTTATTTATCAAAAAAAAAATAATTTTATTTATAATAAAAAAATAATAGAATATTTTTAGTACCTTCAAACATATCTCGCAACGGTACAATTCGTGGGTCTCTTTTTTTTGCAGCCTCGGAAACAAACATTTTGATTTTTTATTTAATGTTTACTGTTTACTTGTAATTTTATTTGATGATAGTTTTTATTGTTTTTTACAAGATAAATAAACAGTTGAATATTGTGAGCCGTGGCAATTTTTTTTTCAGCAGTACATTTGTTAAATGGATTTGAAGTATTTAAACAAAATTATTAATAGCTCAAATTTAAAAACTACTAAATTAAATGATTTATTTTTTTCAAATTTTTGTACTGAAAAATTTAATGGAACAAGGAAATTAATTTTGAATGGCAATGATTTGTTTCCCAAAATCGGGTTAGTGTAAATTTATATTTAATTTGAAAATCAATTACTCGAATAAATTTTTTAAATTTAGGAAACGGATAGAAGATGATGATATTTACAATCTTACGGCTTTTTTGAAAAAAAATTCTGATATTAACTCGCTAAGTCTTGCGTATAATTATATTCATTGTCAGGGTTTTATTCGTCTAATTAATTATTTAATTGTAATATTAATTTTTGTAAATTTGAAGTTAGAAAAAAAATTTATTTTGAAAAAAGAATTAAATTTTTTATAAGAAATTAATTTTTTGGAAATTTCTAACAATTATATTTATTAAAATAAAATGTTTAACATTTTATAATAAATAAAATAAATTTCATTTTTTAATAAATTTTTTCTCAGTATACTCTTTAATAAATTTACTTAAATAAATAATATTGTAGACAAATGATAAAATACTTGAACTCAATGTCCAAAATAATGAAATAAGTTCAGCAGGAATCAAAAACTTATGCTCCAAATCTTCAAAGCTGATACTAAAAATCTTGCGATTAAATGGAAATAAATTATCACCTGATGTAATTAAATTAAATTAAATTAAATTTTATTAATATATTTAACCCATTTTTGTTAGACAATTATTTTTAGGTATGTAAAGAAGTAGCTGAGATGATTATTATTAATTCATCTATCGATCACCTTGATGTCGCAGAAATTGATCTAACATCATCGAGTTTTTTTTATTTTATATCAGCATTGAGATCAAGCACCCTGAAAATAATCGATCTTAGCAGACCGATTCCTCAGAGTAATAATTATTTAGACAGCGAATATTTTGCTAGAATTATTGGTTCAATGCTCAAAGTATTTTCAAATATATTCAATAATTTATTTTTTATAACTACTTAAAGGACATATTTTCTTTTTAACAATAAATTGATTTAATAGATCAACACAAGTTTAACAGAATTACATCTACAGAAATATAATTTCTCGTGTCATGACATTGAATTAATGCTAATTGATGCTCAATTCAACAAAACTTTACAGTTAATTGATCTAGGGTGCAACAATATTGGCGATCATGGGCTCGAATCGATTTGCAATTGGATTCGTGGGAAACCAGCACTTTCTGGGCTAATACTTTCTCATAATATTATTACAGACATAGGAGCTAGGTGTTTATATTTAACAATTATTATCACTTTTTATTCATGCTAAAAGTATCTAAAATTTTTTATTTAATTTCAGAGCTCTTAGCTTTGTTTTACCTTTTTCAAGGATCATCTTATTAGACGTTTCTTATAACAAAATAAAAGATAATGGGATTAGAGACATTTTAAATATAATTAATGAGAGTACTTCTATCAGATATTTAAGAATATATGGCAATACAATATCATCTTCAGCAGAAGTAAGTTGTAAATATCTCCAAGATTTTCACCTTAATTTCAAAATAACTGTTCATTTAATAAATTGTTTGAATTTTTTATATTATGGCTAAAATATTGGTCCAAAAAAAAAAAAATGTTTGTAACAAAATTTAATTTAATTTAGTTTTGTTTCAAACGTTTTTTTTTTTATAGGACCAATATTTTCGCGGTAATATTATTTTAAAACTGCGGCTTAAATTTATGTGACATAAAAAAAATTACTAATGACAATTGAAAAAAATTTTAATTCACAAGATTATTGAAAGAATCTTAAAGTCTGGAGTATTGGAGCTAGATAATCTCGACGTAAAACCTTACAAAGTTGACGGTAAATTTTACGCAGCTCATTATCCAGCTGACCATTACAAACAAAGATATTACAATGTTTCTCAGTCAAATTTATACTCTCAAAACCCAACAATTTTTGCGTACGTCGACGCGCCGGCAATTAAGCCGAAACAAGTAAGTTTTTAACATTGAACAATAATATAAATTTGATAAATAATACTTGATTTAATTAAAGACTCATGAAGCTCTGAATTGTGGTCAAGAATTGATTGAATACCGTAAAGGTTCTAAAGAGTCTAGTAACAGTGATGATTCTTCAGAGAGTTTGGAATCTCAATCTGAGAACAATTATTGCTACTGTGCATGTAAATTATACATTACTTATACATCACATTAACTAATTTATGTACAATAAATTTTTTTATAATTTTAATTAGCGGAGGATAAGTCATTGAGTGAATCGTCAACTGATTGGTACAAAGTTAAAGACAGTAGAATGCAAAAAGTCATGCTGATTTTAGATAAAGTGGATTATGATCTGAGAAATTATATTTTAAGCCGGATGAATACTGATATTCAACTAGAACAAGCTATTGATTATTTGAATAAAGATAATTGAATAAAAAATATTTTCCTAACTATATGTATGTACACTTACATTTTTAGAAAATTTATAATTCTAATTAGAATTTTTAACCAAAATTAAAATAATACATTTTTTATAGTAATAAATCATAGAAAAAAATAATGTTAATTTATTAATAAAAAATTATAAGTAAAAAATAATAATGAAAATAAAATTTGTTATGCCTTGATAAAAGGCTATAAAGTTACACATAATTTTTTAAACTTCAATATTTGTTCGTTGGCTCAATTATTTTTTTTTTTTAATAATTTTTTTATATCAAGCTGATTTTTATATTGCATTTATATTTATAATAGTGATAAATTAACAACTCGAGCGATTAAGACCAATTAATTTATCGCAATTAGATATAAAATCAAAGGCACTTTCATACTCAAGTATCGTATTTTTGAGCTCCTCGAGTTTTTCAATTGACTGTTTGTGAGTTTTAGACGTGACATTTTTGTACCGTACGGCAGTAACCATTTTATCAAGGGTATAATGCAGCCATAAAATATTCGTGTACGGTTCAAATGACTGCCAGTTATTTCTGAAGAATAAAAATAATTTATGAATAAAAAAAAAAAAAAAACTATAATAATCTGAATACATACTTGGTTTTTTCTTTCATAAGTCTGTAAATATCAAATTGATATTCACCAACAGCAGTAAATAAAGCTGGGTCGAGAGCTAAGTCGTTGAACATACAGCATCCTTGATACGACATTCTCGATAACGTGAAATCGATAATCGTCGTCTTGAGTAATTAAAAAAAAAATATTTATGCGTAATATTTATAAATAGAATAATTAATAAGTTTATGAATATATATCATCGATAAATATAACTTACTTTTATACCATTACATTGTAAGCTTATCTCTTCACTGTCAAGTTTACAAGACATTTGCTTCTCATTCGTACGTGAGATCAAAATATTACCCCAATGCATATCGCGGTGCTCAAAGTCCAGCGACTTTTCAGCAACAGCAAGCGCCAAGGCAGCCTATATAAATTATAATAATTATTTTTTTTTTTATTTCGCTACAATTTAGCTACACAAGAATAAGAGTAGTAGAACTTTTACATTTAGCCTTTATAGTTATCTTTATACTGTTATTATTATTATACAAAAAAAAAAATAAATAAATTAGTAATTACCTGCACAAATGTTATGTAAGCTTCTGCGGAGTTATTAAAAACAAATGCTTCCATATCTTGTCCCCCGTTACCGAGTTCCAAAGCAATATATAGCTGATCGTCAGTAAACATTCTCGGAGAATCATTCTCGGAATTTTTTTTCTCATCATACGCGTCCCACAGTTGTAGTAATTTATCAGGATATTTACCCTTTATACACCTGATATTTTTAACTTCAACGAAGCTATTTATTTGGTACGTTTTGTTGAACCTCAAGTCGTGGAGTTCTCTAAGAAAAAAAAAATAAAAAAAAATTTTATAAATAAATATAGAAATTTAGTTAAAATAAAAAATAAAAAAAATTTTAAATAAATATAAAATAAATTTAGAAAAAATTATAAATAAGTATAAAAATTTAAACTTACTTAGCGATAATTATCTCAGATAAAATTTCTCCGTATTTTTTTTGTGGCTCGCCGTTAACTAATTCGTTGCCTTCTATAGGTATTATTTTAATAACAGACTTATCTCTTTTATTTTCATAAAGAAATACCTCACCGTAGACCCCTTCTCCTATTTTACGACAGTGTTTTAAATATCTAAAAGATAAAGTGATAAAGATCCGGTAATTAAACTAATTGAATAGTCAATTAAGATAAAAAAAAGTGAATTTAAACATACGAATCAGGATAACATGACTCAAAAGGCAAACTGTCTGTCTGGTCACACCGTTGGAGTACAACATTTCTAGCAGAAACTGGTTCTGGTAAGATTTCCAGTGTTGGTGTACTCGAACATCGTAATTGATAGACTAAAGACTCTTTTGGCGCTAAAAAAATAACGTAAGTATAATTACTATTACTCAATAAGTACAATTAATCAACAACTTACAATAAGATAAAAGAGCCAGTTATTGACACTTGTAATTTTATTTTAATTAAAAAAAAAAAAAAAACAAATCAACTCTAATAAATATAATTTTTTAATTATAAATTTTAAGATTAATTTTTGAGAACATTTTATTTTTTTTAATTAGAATAAAATTTCAAGTGTCAATAACTGGGTCTTTTACCTTAATTATTATTATTAATAATAATAATAAATAAAATTGGTAAAGTTACCAAGTGATTTTTTTTTAATTTCATCATTTCTATCAGTTGAAATACCATAAGCTTTGAGGAAAGACGAGTCCTCAATTATTTTATCATCAACAATACTGTATTTACTGCTATTAGGTACAACGCGTATTGACATACGTCTGGCAAAACGACCGGCACCAGATTCCACATCATGGTTGTTTATTAACGATACCTTTGGAAAATTGCTGCTGCGCTTTGATAATAGCAGTCTGTCTCTGTGAAATGTTTCGCTTTCACTCTTCTCATTTTCCTTATTTTTTACGCAAGCAAAAGCAACACCTGCAATTTAATTTAAACAGAATGAACGTAAGTTATTTTTTTACACTCAATTTATTCAATACAAACCCATTGATATAAAAAATAAATTTTAATTATTAAATATATTTTTTAAAAAATATAAATATTACAAAATATAAACATATGTTAAAAATACATTAAAAAAATAAACGCGAATTGTTTTTATAAACAATATATAAAGCAAACTTCAAGTGATAAATAAACTTTAAAAATTTATAAATAACAAAATAACACTTACTTTGTCTCTGCATACTCAAAACATTCCGCACACTTTGCCTCCATTTCTTTCCTTTATTACCAATAGGCATTAAATCAAGATCCTCTTCTTTGCGAATATTATTCAAAATAGAAAGCGACCTTGCCCAAGATTTTCCAGGCTTCAAGTACAAAACTCTAGCATCCAGATCATTTTCCAGATCTAATCTATCAATAAGCGGTTCTAAAAATCCGACCCTGCTTTTTTTAGGTCTCTCGTCAGGTTCATTAGAATCACTTTTAATGCGCGTGCTTCTTCGCATCGGCAATGAAATTTTGGTGCTCCTAGTAGTCCTTCGGGCGACCTTTTTACTCAAATCAGAAGATTCAGACACTTTTTCAGTGATATTCGACAAATCACTTGAATTTTCTGCAATAGCATCCAAGTTACGCGCCCAACTTTGATAATCTCTGCGTCTAGTAGTAACATGTCCAATATTATTCAAGCGTTCTAGAAGTACGAACGGCTCTGATAATTTTACAACTGAATTTTTATTTTCATTAATACTATCGGACTCAATTTCTTCTTTTTTATTACTCTCTTCTCCTTCTTCTTGGCTCGAGTGTTCCGTGGAATTATCTTCTTTGTTAGAAGAAGAGGTATTAGAAACAACTAAGTGATAATCATCATCTGTTTCAGAAGAGTCAATTAACTCATTATCTTTACTATTTTCTACTGAACTTTCAATGGCAGATTTACTTTCATCAACTAAAATTGAATCATTATTAATTGATATATTTTCTGAACAAGTTTGATTTATTTTAATTGGTAAAGAATTTTCAATACATTCACTCAATTCTGATATTTCGGAATTTTTATTACTCAATTTTAATGTTTCTGAATTTTCATTACTTAATTCTGAATTTTTATTACTATCCTCAGTAAAATTATCAAATGATTTAAATTCCGAAACAAAATTTCCCTCTTCAATTTCATCGAGTACCATATCATCAATTGAGCTTCTTTGATCCATTTCATTAATTACAGAAGACTGCGAATCACTCAGGCTTTTAATTTCCTCAGATTTGAAACTTTCATTTACAGACTGAGAATTTTGTCCTGACAAACTACCCGCAATTAAAGTTTGACAAGATTCATCATCAATTTTAATCTGAGAATCTTTAGTATTAGTATCATCTACCACACTAGAATCTTCTGATTGATTCTGCAACTCATCAAAACTAGAGAACAAATCTGCAGATGTAATACTCGTCTCTTCTTCAGCAGACCCCAATTTTTTACTAACAAGCATATTAGTTTCTTCATCTCCAAATAACTCAGTAGAAACATCAAGCAGTATCGTGGGAGGTACTGTTAAATTTTTACTAGCTTTATTAGGTGTGTAAATTGGAGATATTCCGGGCTTCAATTTTTTAAAGCCAACTCGTCGCTCGCAAGGTGTGCTGCTTATAAAAGTTTGCGATAAAGTACTATCCATCTGCATCGTCGACTTATTATTATTATTATTATTGTTATTTAATTGAGATAACCGTACAATACATTCTCTAGATTTAACCTCAGCTTCTAGACAACTACTTCGATGATCATTATTATTATTATTATTATTATTATTTTTAACAGGCTTGATTTTTAACTCTTGATTATTATTAAGCCGATTTTCTTTCAACTCTAACCGCGTCAGCATAACAGAACAATTTTTAATTCTATTTGTTTGTTCTAAAGATCCAGCTTTAGCTCTTGAAACTCTGTTGTTTCCTCGTCTCGATTTTCTAACAGGAGAAAATTTAACGCTAGCATCACTGTCGCTGCTGTCATTACCGATTTTTTTAATCTTCCTCTTCCTCACGCGTGTTTTCACCGGCAAGCTTTTAGTAATTTTCTCCGTGGCATTATCAACTGAATTGGATCTAATTTTTCGGTGTGTTATGTGTGACTTTTGATCTATTTTTACCAACTCAAATGACTCTTCATTAGAATCCGTCGTGGTGTCAACAAACTGCGGGACTAAATCATTTTGCGGTAATGATGGCTGTAATCTTTAAATTAATTTATTAAATAATTTTAAAATACAGTAATTAAAAAAAAAAAAATGTTTAATTCATTTACTTACTGAGTACTCTCAAGATTATCGAGTACCGGCTGAAGTAGGCTCTGATCCGGTGACTCGACAGCCGGTGGCTTATTTAAATATTCATCAGAAGTCCTTGAATCCGGGGTCTGACAATCTTGTGATTGCTCAAGAGTCTCTTCATCTGTCAGCTTTGAATTTAAATCAGAGTTGTCCGGTAATGATTTGTTTTCCTCACTTTTATCTTCTTCGAGATCTTTTTCAATAGAACTGGATCTAGATTTAGGGTCACTTTTTTGACTATCTTCTACGTAAGATTCTTCACCTGAATCTGTCGTACTGTCCACAAACCGGACTTTTAATTCCCTTTTTGAAGCTCTTGGTGGTAATCTTTGAATGAAAATTTATTTTGAAGATATTTAATAATTTTTGAAACAAATAAATTGTGTTAAAAAAATTGATGCTATTTTTTAAAAATAATTTTTCCGAACAAATTTAAGTGTTAAAAAAAATGAATCAAACACTAAAAAATTAAAATCTAAGTGTTATTGCATTAATAACATTAGTACACTTGATAATTTTTTGATTTTTTTGGAATAACAAACTAGGTATAGAAAACTATTTATAAAAAAATGCACCTACAATTTTTTTAAGCTTTTAAAGACGGAATTTTTTTTTAAATAAATTTTTCTTGCTATAATCTATTAGTTAAAAAATTATTTAAAATATTCAGATGTCTCTCAATTTTAAATAATATTAAACAGCCAACATTTAAAATTTTTTTTTCATTTATTAAATTAAAACTGAGAAATATTTTTAAAAAATTGCAATTTTTAAGTTTTTTACAAATGAAGATTTTTTTTTATTTTTTTGTAATAATTTTCTCAATAAAAAAAAATTCTAAAAATTTTTAGATATCGGCTAATTTAAAATTCATTAATTTCAGTATCATTAATTGTTAAATTATCATAAATAAAAAAAAAAATACTTACTTAGCAGTTTTGACAACTCTGTCAAAGGTAGTTTCAAAAGGGTCATAATCACTGGACTTATTTTCTGATTTATCCAAATATTTATCAAAATCAATACTCGAATCAGGACTTAAAGGTGAAATTATATGCTGTCTATGGAATGTCATTAAATCAGAACCACTTGTGGTTACTGGTTTAGGTTTTCTCCCGTATGTTTTTATCGGCTTTTGAAACATTTTGCTTTACTATTTCTTTAAAACAATTACAACTTAATCAATCTGAAAAATACCAAAAGTAGGACAATAAGTTATTTATAACCGGCGTAGTTTAGATAATCAATTTTTTACATACTTTTTAATTTCAGAAATTATAACAAACACCATAAGTAAATTAAATATATTTTAAACTTCTTCTTTTATTTTTATTTTTAGTAACTTTATTTACAAACAGTTTAATTTAATGTATTTAATTAAAAATATCTTTATATTATAGTTTATTATTTTAGTAACAAGATAAATAATAATAACTCTGTGTTTAGTTTTTATTTGATAGGTTGTCAAAAAGCTAGGTTACGATATTTGTTCGGCTGGATGGTAGCGACACCTACAACTTTTAGCGGCAATTTTTATTTTTATTCAAAATTTTATTGCGTAAAAAATTTTTTTATTTTTTTTAACAATTAAATTGTAAGTAAAAAATATTTTTAAAAAATTGCACTCAAAATTCTTAAAATTTTTCTGTAAGTAAAATTTTTTTTGTAATTAATTATATTATTTAAAAATAATACTAAAGTTAGAAGTTTTTAATTTTTTGATTTTTTACTATTGAAAAAATTATAAAAAAAAAAAAAAAATATTTTTTTTTAATATTCAAGTTTTTTACAAATGAAATTTTTTTTTATTTTTTTGTAATAATTTTTTAAATGAAAAAAATTTTTAAATGTCGGCTAACTTAATTTTCATATTTAAAAAAACAAATTTCATTATTTCTGTCAATAAAAATATTTTTAAAGTAATTTATTAAATTTTTAAATAAATATTGAAATTTTTAATAATTAAATAATAAAACAAATTGAGTGAGAAAATTCTCATAAAAGTAATATAATAATCATGAAAGTGAATTTATGAATAATCGCATTAACTTACACACATTGCATAAATGAATAAAATAAATTTCGCAATATAAAACATTTATAAAAAATTTTCTTCATCAATGATGAAATAAAAAAGGATATTACGTTGGATTTTAAGTCCCATTTAAACTGTCAACTTAAAAAAAAAAAAAAAAAAAAAAAAAAAAAAAACAATTAATATAAAAAAATAAATAAATAAAAAATCAAGACTAAAAAATAACAAATCGGCGATAATTTATTTACAGAAGAAATAAAAAGTGAGACTTGAGAACAAATCGAATAAAAAATAAAAAAAAAGTAAGCTGTTGTTACTTTAGCAATTACACTAACTTATTTATCAGCGTCTGAAATAACAACAAAGACAATTTGTCATCTTGTCAGTCTCGCTTCAAGATTTCTCTCACGTTTATTCGCCCATCGTATCTTTTTTTATGCTTCGTTTAATCTTGCTGGTACTTTTATTTATCCAACTCTTCTATTTTTCTATTCTTCTTCTATTTTCCAGCTTTTCTTCTATACGCTTAAAAACTCTGAATGGCATTTTTTCCCGGCGTAAACTATTGTCAACAGTTTTTATGACGTAAATTAATAAATTAGACGCCACAAGTGTCTTATTATCAATACAAATACTAATAATATATAAATATCAATGTCAATGTTGATGCGAGATTTATTTTTCAGACTTTCATTAACGCGATCGAGTTCCAGTAGAGTGTTTCTCGTTGTTTTAGATTTTAATTATCAATAAACGAGGTATTATGTATTTTAATATGTGATTTGGAGATATTGTCTGCTCGGGCTTTGTCTATAACAATGTTCTCATGATATTCTCGTCATCCTTTGATATATACCCATATTTTGGCATACCGCCATCCATGTGTTTGTTAATTTATTCATCATGATAAGCATTGCAATGAACAATTTTAATGAGGTATTTTAATAGAAAATTATTTTATTATTAATTTATGTCTTTGATAGAAATTTCATATTCGTTGAAAATTTTTTTATTTTTGTCTATTGTTAAAAAAATATTTTGTTATTTTTTAAGAATTAATTGATCGTTATTTTAAAATAAAATAAAACGAACAAATTGCAGTTTTTGTTTGCTTAGTTAGCACAAGTTTGCTCTACCAATAAATATAAAAGATAAGCACCGCGTGAATCGTTCCCGGAGTAAGTGCAACGCTAATTGTGTCATAATAATAAACTTTATTGTTACAATAATATAAAACGTGGCAAATCTGTAGAACGGATGAAAATAAAAGCTCAAATGTGTTATATCGAATGGTCAAACTTCCAAGTTATGCGCTGATATTACCGCCGTTAATGATTACAATTTTATTGATAATTTATATCTATATCTTCCTTTATGGATAACCATTCAAGTAATACCGTATTATCGAGTTTCTATTTAATGAGCTCTATCTGTAATAATGCTCGTTACGTATTATATCAGTTGCTGCGATAAATTGTGTTATTACCAATTTAAATGATCAGAAATTAAATTTCTAAAGTATTATTCTTGCTGTAATTATTTTTAATTGTTTTTAAGACATTAATTTACAATTTTTTTAATTTTCTTTAACAAAAAAATTAGTTCTAAAAAATTGCATTTTTAATTTTTTTAAAATTTCTACTAGTCAATTTTTTTTCCATAATTTATTTGTAAAAAAAATTATTAAAATTATCAAATATCTGCTAAATTAATTTTTATTTTTTTATGACATTTAATTTAGCTGTCACTTTACAATTTTTTAATTTTTTTTTAACAAAAAAATCATTTTTAAAAAATTGCATTTTTAGTTTTTTAAAATTTCTACAAGCTAATTCTTTTGCAGTAATTTATTTGTTAAAAAAATTATCAAATATTTGTTAAATTAATTTTGATTTGTTTTTTATAATTTAAGAATTTTAATAAAACTCAATATCAGACTGCTGTCTAATCTAAAAAAAAAAAAAAGAAAAAAATTTTACAAGTTAGTGAGATAAAATTAAGTGCATAGATTATAAATATATATTTACTGTCTTGTTTTTTTTTGTTTAAAAAAAAAAAAAGAAAAAAATTTTACAAGTTAGTGAGATAAAATTAAGTGCATAGATTATAAATATATATTTACTGTCTGTTTTTTTTTGTTTTTTTTTTTTTTTTCTAATTATATATGAACAAGAACAAGACTAAGAGCGTAGATGCGCAAGCGTGGCCGTGTAAGACTTCTCGTGGACGAGCAACTATTGAAAGTGTGATAAAAAATTGTACTTAATTTTCCTGAGTTCCTTGTTGTTGTTTTTGAATGTTAATCATACGTGGGTGTATGTGAACACTATACTTGAACAGTGTATATTAAGTGTATTATAATAAATGTACTGTACATCAGTAATTTTAAATATCGAACAGGGCGCGCGCTTGATCTCGATCGATTTTTTCCGTTACCATGAGTGACACCAATGGAAAATTGGTAAGGCTATTATTATTAAGTAATAAATTCTCCATAGATCGATTGCAAAAATTCTTTTTTGCTGACGCGATAGTACTTCTTGAATATGTTGTCGGGAAAAATTAGAGGTTATGTCGAGCGCGTGGGTATTTTTCTTTAAGATCTGCGCCGGCGTGACACCCGCCAATCCCAGTTTTGTTTACTTTTCATCAATTTTCAAATTTTACTATTTTTATTATAAATATTGATTTCTTTCTTTATTTAGCTTGAGAAGACTGAGGCCAAGGTTTCTTCGGAAGAAAAAGCTGGATGGTCACAATGGAAACAATGGTTCGCTGCTATTTCAGGTATTTATTATACTGAAGTTAGCTGACAGCTGTCAATTTTTTTGATTTTTTACAAAAAATCAATTGTTATAAAATAATACTTGAAAAAATTTCCACTAATAATTTATTTGATGACACTGAAATTAGCAAACGTCTAAAAATTTTTAATTTTTTTTTATTAATTAAATTACAACTAAAAATAATATATTTCTAAAAAATTGCACTTATAAATTTTTCAATTTTTTTTTTTAATTGAAATTTTTTCAATAAAAAATTTATAAATATTTTAAAATGTCGGCTAACTTTATTTACATTTTATTTGTTGTAAAATTATAAAAAAATTTGAATGTCAGTTTATATTCAGTGTCTTTATTTAATAATACTGAAGTTAGCTGACAGCTGTCAATTTTTTAAAATTATTCTATAAAAAATTATTTGTAATAAAATAATACTTGAAAAAATTTCCACTAATAATTCTTTTTTTTAATAATAATAAAGTTAGTCGACATTTTAATTTTTTTCTTTTATTAAATTAGAACTAAAAAAATATTTTTTAAAAAATTACACTAATAGTTTTTTAATTTTTTTACAAATGAAATTTTTTTTTTATTTTTTTGTAATTTTGTCAATAAAAAAAAATTATAAAAATTTTTAGATGTCGGCTAACTCAATTTTTATTAGTGGAATTTTTTTATTAAATTTTTTTTATAATAATTTATTTGTTATAAAATTAAAAAAAAATTTTAATGTCAGTTTTAAGTTCAGTGTCTTTATTGTTATTTTATTTTATGAGTATTTTTAAAGAATAATAATAAATTTATAATTAATTTTTAAAACTTTAGTTTTTTCCATTAACATTAATAATAACAATAAATTATTTTATAAAAATTAGTAGAATAATTAGTTAAAAAATAATTTTAATATTTTTGGAGTTAAAAAAGTTTTAAGTTATCCGCCATCTTGTTTTAGATGTCAGAAGTTATGAACAGACATGAGTTGTGACAAATTTAATTTAACCACCTTTAAGTTATTAAATTAATTATAAAAAAACAGTAAATATTTACAAGAAACAATGTACATTTATAAAAAAAAATTAAACAATTTAAGATAAGCTCACAGAAGCTAAGCTCATGGCCACCATTTGGGGAGAGTACAAGCTCTGAGACTGACAGTTGTTGTATATTCTCTTCATATCGCTGACAAGCTCGTTATTTTTCTCCAAAAAGTCGAAGGCTTTGAATAAATAAACAGTAAACTCGTCGGCCATTTGAGCGGCATCGGATTTCTTCGCCGCTTGAATAATGTCCTGAGCAAATTGGATGAACAGAAGTTTTCTTGCCTTGTCGGCAACCATGAATTCTTCGTACCAAACACGTGTTACTATTTTAGAGTACCTTTTGCGGTTGATAAAGTGCCATTTTAACATCTTGAAATCCCCGCTGACGATGTGAGAGTTGTATTTCTCCCGAGCTACTTTTTCGTCGAAGACTGGCATTTTTTTTTTATATTTAAATATAAATTTGACAGATGAGCTCTAAATAAAATATATAAAAATTAATATTTGCAATTTTAAATTTAAGTAAAACAAAAGATAACTCACCAATAATATAAATTGTAAATACTTTCATTTACAAACTAAGTAACTCTTACAATTAATATATAACTAGAGTTTGAGGTTATAAATTTTCGCTAAATACTTTGTAATAGTGACGACGTGATTAGCCTGGATAGTTCTTGCGCACTGACTAAAATTGCAAACCGAGTTACCTTACAAATACCTTGAGAAAAACAGTAGAAGCTTCTCCTCCTCTATATTAAACCCCTCCAACAACCTAAATTACTAATTACTGTCCAGGTATACACAATACTTTTGCCGGCATAAAAAAATTTTTAAATGTCACGAAGACTTTGCCTATTATTTATTTAAAATTCACTTCACATAAATTAAATAAATAAAATTATTAAGAAAAATATAGACTCTAAGTAGTTTTCTATGTCGTGCTTAAGATAAAAAAATATTAAATACTATATACGAGAAGAAAGTGTACTTATTTTTAATATATCTAATGAAATATATGTCAAGTCTAAATAGAATGTATGAAGAATGTCACTTTGTTCGTTCATTTATTTCTTCTATATAGAATATCTTCTTTAAAGTACTTTTCTAAGGGTTAGTCAATATTTAATGCTTTTGAAAAAGTAAAAAAAATTTAATTTTTTGCAAAGTTAAATTTTTCAATTATTAGCGTTTAAAAAATAAATATTATAAATTAAAATTAAAGTTTTCTCTGATGAATCTATAGTAATAATAACTAGCAACCTTGCAGTCACTATGTGACTGCCGTGACTTGTGAATTAAAAATAAACAAAATTTTGCTTTATTAAATAATGAATTTTGTTAAAAATTGCACTGTACTTTTTGAACTATTGACATTTTTAAAGATATAAGCTCATCCCGATGTTACACTCATCAAGAGCTTTCATTTGAGTACCCACATGCATTTTGATATATTTTTCATATATACATATATACATATATATAATATATATAAATATATGAAAAATTGATGTGGGTACTCAAATGAAAGGTCTTGATAAGTGTAACATCGGGATGAGCTTATTTCTTTAAAAATGTCAATAGTTTACGAGATACAAGGTAATTTCTTAATTATGTATCTAGAAATAAAGCATTTCCGAATGCAGCCTAAATACTTATTATCAATTTTCCGTACTTAATTTAATTTTAAAGAAAAATTAAAAAAATTCTCCAAATTTATTTTTTCTAACTGATAAAAATTGTTTTTTTTTTTTTAATTTCAGCGACGCTGTCAATGGTCGCCGTCGGAACAGTCTACGGATGGACAACGACAATGTTACTGCGCCTGGAAAAGGGGGACAATGTGCCAATGACAATAAACAGCACCGAGAGTTCATGGATAGTGTCATTAACGGTAATAGCGTCAATGTGCGGTTCATTTCTGGGTGCCCTGTTAGCCGATTATTTTGGCCGGAAAGTTTGTCTTCTCTGCTCAAGCATGTTTTTCATCGGAGGTTGGTTCGCCATAATATTCGCCGTCAGTGCCAATACACTCTACATAGCGCGCATTATCCAGGGGATAAGTGTGGGCATGTCTTACACTGCGAATCCCATGTATGTGTCGGAAGTCGCCGACACCAACATACGCGGTGCTCTGGGAACGTTGATAGCCGTTAATGTCTTCACCGGGTCACTGCTGACATGCTGCATCGGACCCTACGTGTCATACACCACATTGGGGATAGTTCTGCTCTCCATACCGATAATATTTGTTTTAACTTTCATTTGGTTCCCCGAGAGCCCCTATTTCTTGGCAATGAAAAACCGAAACAAAGCTGCAACTCAAGCAATTGCTTTTTTTAAGAACGTCGATTTTGAGACAGCTCAAAGGGAGCTGCAAATAATTATTAACAATATTAATGAAGAAAAATCCCAGTCGGAAAATTGGAAGGTAAAGGTGAGACACTTGTTGTCTTCAAATAATCGCAAGGCTTTTTTTATGGTCCTGATGTTGATAGTTGTCCAACAATTGAGTGGAAATTTCACGACCATGCAATTCTTGACACAATTGTTTGACGAAGCCAAAGTCGGAATCGACGTCAATATTGCGACCATTATTGTCTTCGCAGTTGGTCTCGTTTCTGGAACACTTGCTACCATGAGCGTGGAACGAGCTGGAAGAAGAAAATTATTAATGTGGTCGAGTTTTTCCTGCGCTGCTACCCTAACAATCCTCGCAACTTATTTGTATCTCAAGCATTTAAATTACCCTGTTGAATTTATGAAAGTTTTGCCGTTAATTGTAATTGTTTTGTTCCAAATCGTCTACCAATTAGGCCTTGGTACCTTGCCGAACGCCCTTATCGGTGAAGTCTTCCCCACTAATGCCAAAGGAGTCGCTGCTGCGGGTATCACCATCTCAGACGGGATTTTGGGATTCTTAGTATCGACTTTCTACAACCAAATAAAAGAAAAATGGGGCAATCATACTCTGTATTTTTCTTTCGCCACTTCTTGTTACCTGGGATTTATTTTTGTTTTATTTTGTATACCCGAAACTAAAAATAAATCCTTCTTGGAGATACAGCAAGAATTATCGAGACAAGGATTTAGATATAACAACAGTTTTAAAGAATAAAAAGAAATAGAAGATGTATTAACGTCCCGGAATTTATCTATTGCGCCAACGTTTTCAACTAATTAATCGGTCCTTTGGCTAATTAACGGGCAGATTGGTTTAATTAAAAAAAATATTCTGTGAGGTTGAAAAATAAGGGACTTTTAATTGATTCTTTATTAAACGATTTATTGTTGTTCGATAGCTAGATAAAGCCAATTAAATCGTTTGGACGGGTATATATATACTTACGACCAATGCAATTTTGTTTTAATACTAATTAATTTACTTAAAATTTTTTTTATGGTTGATTTTTTTTCCGGTATTTTACTATTGAGTTACGGGTAATTGTTAAGTAATTTATTATTTAAAATTTATTAGCGCATTTAAAATTATAGTTATTTAATTTTTTGAAGAGTTATATACATTTATATTTAAAGAGTAGAATTGAAAAAAATATAAGATATTTATTTACAAGTGGGGTCAATCCCATTTTGGGCCATAATTAACATTTTCAATTTTTTTTTACGGCGCATTTATGATAAAAAATTTCGTGAAAAAAAATGAAGATTTTGATAGCTTTTTTGCCTTCAAAAGTTGGAAAAAAATTTAGCTCTCATGTTTTTGGATAAAAATTCTATTTTATCTTTTTTTGATGTTTTTGAAAAGTATATGAAAAATTAACAATTTAAAAATAAAGTTAAATATCACAATTTTCTAAATTTTTTTGAAAATTTGTAAAATTGTGATAATTAACTTTTTTTTTGAATTCATTTTTTAATGTATTTAAAAAAAAATATATCAATAAAATTAAATAGAAATTTTGTTCAAAAAAATGAAAAATTAAAATGGTTGAATTCACTTGTAAATATTTACCAAAAAAAAAAAAGACTCCTTAAGAGCAGCAATATTTAAATACTAAATATTTTTACACTGCATTTAATAATTAGATTAAAATGGTTCGTGTTATATAGACTATATATTAATACGTGGATTAAAAAAAATTAATAAAAAATGTGAATAAATGAAGTGGCTAAAAATAGTAAAAATAATAATAATAATATTTCTGCGTTGATAGGTTGAAATAGTCTGTTATTAAATTACGGCGTTGGAGGAGTTAATAAAATTCCGCGTCTAAAAAATTCAATCTGTTCTACGCTCTGAATTTAATATTTTATAAAATATAGACTAATATATTGTGAATTTAAAATAACTTTTGTACATTATGTAGAATACGTTTGAAATAAAACAAACTTGGTTATTAAAATATTTAATTAATTCATTTAATAAAGTTATGAATTAAATAAATATTATTAATATTAATATAATAATAAAAGTTGTGGAGATTAAAATGTACTTTGCCGAGGGGCTTATTAATTAAATACAAATGTGTTCATTGTTGGTTCATAATTTTTAAATTGAGCTGGTATAAAAATCAATGTTTAATCACCAGCTCAAGTTTGTAAAGTAAAAAGTAAAATAAATAAATCGGATTGTTTCGTTAAATTGAAAAACAAATGAACAACTGAAAGATAAAAAATAATAAAAAGAATACATATTAATGTATACGTGTGTATATATTTTGAGGGTGGATTTTGTCTGATATCGACTTTCGATTGTGAATGGGGAAACTTTTGTTAGTTGTGAGTGCGATGGACGGGCAAGGAGAGCTCTTGCTCTGGAGCCCACGACTGGTGGGTGAGAATAAAAACAAGAATAAAAAAATTGATCGAAAGGTAAAAGAGATAAAAATGGATGATACAAAAAGGAAGAAAACCTTGGGAGGAAAAAAATAAAAAAAAATATAAATAGGCTGTACCTATACCGGCGAAATCGAGAAAAGAAACTAGATACAGGCGGGAGGGATGATAAAAAAAATTCTGGAAATAGACAAGTTAAAGAAAAAACATAAGGTGGACTGAGAAAAAATTTTCTTTTGAAAAATATGGACATTTTTGTGAGAAGAAATTAAATTTTTGGAAATTTTTAATGATTCTATTTCTTAAAGAAATAATTTTTTTAATTTTTTATACAATATAATTTTTTTAAAGATAGTATTATTAAAAAATTCCAACAGGTGGCGCATGGTCGCTGAATATTCTCACTACCAGAGAGTTAATTTTTGAGATATTTATAATAAATTAATTTCTTGTCACAAAAAAGTTTCTTCAAAAGAAATTTTTTTTCTCTGTGTAATAATAATAATAATTATTATTATTATTGTCAAAATAACACATAATATTTTTTTTTATTGCTAAAGTAATGTCAAAAACCTTTGGCTATTTAAAACTATTTTATATACTGAGAGAAAAAATTTCTTTTGAAAAATATGGAAATTTTTGTGAGAAGAAATTAATTTTTTAGAAATTTTAAACAACTTTATTTCTTAGCTGAAGAAATAAGATTTTTGTCAGTAACTTTTTTTGTTGAAAAAAAGTCTTTTAGATTTGGAAAAAAAAAATTTTAGATAAATAACTTTAAAATTTTCTAAGAAATAAAATTATTTAAAATTTCCATTAAATTAATTTCTCTTCCTTTTTTTCAAAAGAATTTTTTTATCTTGGTGCAGAAGGGCGTAAAAAATCTTAAAAAATAATAAACAACTTTTATTCTGGATATATTAATGTTGTGACTGATACACAAACTTAATATTTACCCAGGAATTTAACTGACGGATGAGCAATATTCCACGCAGGCAAGAACACCAGAATATGGAGAGTAAACTTGAGCATTTAGAGTAGAGTGACGACTAAATTCTGGAACATATATATCTATATACATGTATCTATGCATTCACACACCCAGACAATGGCATCTCCAAAATTTCACCAGTTTAGTGCTTCCAGGACATGGTTGACACGAATTGCACGGGCTGGATCTGCTGCTGCAGATCTTCGGAGTATCTCCGCATTCTCTAGGTTTCTCCTGATAGATGTGTTTGTGTATGTGATGCGATAAGACATTACGTACTTACTTTAAATGTCTCTTGTGGGTACTCGTATACATTAAACGCCGTATATATTTAAATACATCTCAGCTACTACAAAGTCATCTCCAAGTCTGGATTCTGGTGTCATTTACGGCTCACAATTTATTTGATTTAATCAGGCATTATTTTATGAGGGATTTAATCTCATAGGTACTAGCGTAGCAATTCCTGTTAAATTTAATAATGATAATGGAATGTTGCATGGCTAATAACTACCGCCAAGATTTTTGCCGCAAATTCAAAATAACAGTTCATAAAAAATGGTTCAAATTTTTTAGATTACGGCTAAAATATTGGTCTTATAAAAAAATGTTTGAAACAAAAGTTGTTAAAATTTAATTTTATATAAATCTTAATTTTTGAATTACAATTAAAATAAAAGACATTTTTTATATAAAGTTAAATTTTGACCAACTTTTGTTTCAAACATTTTTATAGGACCAATATTAAAAATTTGAACCATTAATTCAAAAGCTGCGGCAACTTTTTTGAGACTCATAAAACTTAGGATGATTGAAAAAAAAAAAAAAAAAAAAAACAATTAGATCAAAAATAGTCTTCTTTTTTTTTCAAAGAGCTAGGAAATAATCAATACGACCTGTCAGAAAAAAAGTCCTGCGGAAATGAGTGGAGCACAGAGAGTAAGTATAAATAAAAGTAAGATAAGTGTGGACAGTGGATTGAGAAAACAATAGTTCTTTTGTTTATTGGCATGTTCTTTTTTGTAGGGAATACTTGTTGAAAACAACAGCCGGCATTGACGTTGACATGCCACGGGTTTACTCGATCGTCTGGACGTCTTTGTTGTACTAGTCTCCTCCACTCATTCGGTTCAACTTCTGCTCGACTGTACCTTATCGCTCGTCGCTTTGATCCACCTTCTACCTTCTACTTCAATTTACTTTTCCATCCTAGCTCTTGTTTTTGCTATTACTAAACATCCTTAGTATCGGTAACGGATTCAGCTGATCTATAAACCCCTTCTATTTTCTAACAACTAACGAACACGCTTTACTAGAACCTCCGCTTTAGTTACTTCACATTATAGTGCCTTTCTTTAATCTTCCACACTGAGAGAACAAATTTCTTTTGAAAAAATGAACAAGAAATTAATTTTTAAAAATTTTATTTCTTAGCTGAAGAAATAAAAATTTTTCTTCCAGTAATTTTTTCAAGAGTGATTATAAATGTAAAAAAAATCCATTAAGCAAATCTAAGTACTCTTCTAGTGTAAAGAATGTCTATAAAAAAATAATACGTAGAAATACTTTTGTTATGCATGTTAAAATTAATTTCTTGTTTTTTACAATTAACAAAATAATAAGAAAAATATGATTTTTAAAGAATAATAAGTCAGATTACAATAATTAATAAGAATTATTGTAAGTGATTCATGATGATGAAAAAAAAGAAAAAATTTTAATTAGGTAAAAAAATATAAAACGAAACATAGAAGTAAAATATTTTTTAATTAATTAATAACATTTTTGAGAAAATTTCCGAAAAATTTACTCATTAAATAATTATTAACATTTAATTTAATGAAAGCTACTTTTTTTATTGTTTTAATCTTTAGCTTATTATTTTTTCAATCAAATTCAATGAAAATAAAATTTTTTTTTAAATCGTTAATCACATTAAATTTTTAACCAAATACACGGCTGGTGGAATCTCCATTTACCTACATGTAAAAATTACAATTTTCAAATCTAATTATTCTATTAAATATCCCGGAAACTTGCTGTTTTTTATTAATTATTAGACTACGGAAATTGAATTTATAAATTTTCAGGAAGTTTTAAAAATTTAACTCCAGGTTAGTGACTTTTATTTAAAACTAGAAATTTAAATAGCGCGCTGCGCGCGCGCCTTAATTTTGACCAATAAGAAATCAGGTTCCATTTTTTTTGCGAGTTTCGACTATTAGCTAACTTCACACTCTCATGTATTCTTAACGTACGGATTCGGTATCGTCATATTAAAAAAAATACGTTATTTCTTGATAAAACGCAATAATAAAACATCCTTTAGT